CCTGTGCTTTAGATTTATTATTATTTTTTATTCATTTGTTATTGTAGTATAATTATATATTTTTATTTTATTTCATATCATATTATATCTTTAGATTTTTTATTTTATGTTCGATGGCAGCATGTGATTTTCATTGACCCTAAACAGTACACTTGGGGTCCGCGCGGACCCCAGCACCATATATGCTCTAATATTTTTCTTGTTTGTAAAGATTTTTTTCTGAAATTTCAGCTAATTGTCACCCACAAAGTTGTCCCTCAATACAGTGCAGAAAACTCAGTTTCCCCCTTTTTTGAAAATTTTTATATCTGATTTTCTTTTGGGGTCCGCGCGGACCCCAGTCGGCCTTCGATTGTAATGGATACACTGGCGTCCTTATACATGACTTTATTTCCGTTTTAATATGTTTTTATGCACTTATCGTGTGGCCACCAAATTTTCAGAGAATGGTGTACTAATAGAAAAATTCTAACAATTTTTAGTGTAATTATGACGTCATAGCTAATAATGTGGTCCGCCATCTTGGATTTTGACCAATGACGTCATCAAATTAGCATATACTATGAATATCAAATGATTTAACTTATCTTTAATTATGTAAGATGTTATTAATGTCAGAAAGGAAGTGTTATTGAATATAAATCCCTGAAATTTAACGTTTAAACCAAAATTACTGATTTAAAAAAAAACTGCCTGTCAGAAACCCGTTTCCATGGCAACACAAAAATCATTAACGTATTTAACTAATATGAATTTTTTCCCAGATGCATTTTAGGAAAGGTCACCAAATTTGATGGCTCTAGCTTAAGCCGTTCAGGCGCTATCTGACATTAAAGTTGGCGCGAGCCTAAAAAAAAAAACACTCGGTCTGAATATAAGGTGTAAAAATCGGATTTTTCTTCTTTTTGTCTTTCCTTCGCCATAAAATAGGAAAAGGTCAAAATGTATGATTTTTGTACGTGGTGTGGACTCAGAGGTTCACACATCAATTTGCAAAAAAATTGAGCTGGTATCATGTTGATAATTTCTAAAAATTAGCAAAAAACTGCTTTGGGGTCCGCGCGGACCCCAGGTGTACAGATTGATCAGTCCGTAAAGGTGTTCTGTTGAGGGTTAATTACCTTTCAAACGACACCAAACTTGACCTTCTGGGACGTCCGGGTCCGGTTGCCCTAACCCTAACCCTACCTTAAGGCGGCCCTTAAATCTTCAAACACGTATAAATCCAAAACCAAGGATGATACGTGCAAACGGTTTACGGACCTTACTATTGGGGCTATTACCTTTCAAACGACACCAAAGTTGACCTTCTGGGACGTCCGGTTCCCTAACCCTAACCCTACCTTAAGGCGGCCCTTAAATCTTCAAACACGTATAAATCCAAAACCAAGGATGATTTGTGCAAACGGTTTACGGACCTTACTATTGGGGCTATTACCTTTCAAACGACACCAAAGTTGACCTTCTGGGACGTCCGGTTGCCCTAACCCTAACCCTACCTTAATGCGGCCCTTAAATCTTCAAACATGTATAAATCCAAAACCAAAGATGATACGTGCAAACGGTTTACGGACCTTACTATTGGGGCTATTACTTGAGTGCATTGGCATCGCTGTCATGTTTCTTTTGTTATACCTTGATAAAAAAAATGAAGCCACCACACGAGTACACCATTTTTCTAGCCTGAGTGTCAGCTTTTCTGGCTTTCGTCCGCTCCCCAAGAATTCCCTACCGATAGTGGCTGACACTCACGCTACCACTTTTCTTCTTGATTCTACACATGCAGGTGCCGCACACGAGTACGCGCATTCGATCCAGGTTGCTCGCAGCGCCCCGCCCGGCCCCTCTACCCCGAGGCCAGGAGGTACAACAACCACCGCCGACGGGGGCCCACCAGACCCAACCGCCGCACACGTGTACGATGGGGAACGTGCCCCCCCTCCCCTGATGCCACGAGGACCAACCACCGTCGACAGGGGCCCTCCCCCACCTCCCCCGACGCCAGGAGGAACAACAACTGCAGACGGGGACCCACCAGACCCATTTGCCGCACACATGTACGAGAACGGGGACGAGTTCAGGCAGGGGCTCGGGCCGCCTCTGAGCCGCGACGTTCTCGGCGCCCCGCCTGTTCCCTCTTCCCCGAGACCAGCGAGAGGAGACGATGGGTCAGCCGATGGTCAGGCGGACAGCCCGAACCAGCCTCCAGGTAGGAGAGTCAAGTTTTACCTGCACCATTCAGAATTTAGGAAGTATGGATCACACTGAAAACTGTTCAGAAACCATTGTTCAGAAAACTGTTCAGAAACCATTGTTCAGAAAACTGTTCAGAAACCATTGTTCAGAAAACTGTTCAGAAACCATTGTTCATACTTCATAGGGAGCTATCATAGGTAGTAACAGTCACTGAGTGTAGCAAATAAAAATACACATACATGTATGCCTACATTTGTATATAAACAGGGCCTGTACATTGTACATGGACCTGTGCAGGTTAGGTACATGTACTTGCACAGCTCCAATTTTACCTGCACGTACGTGCATATGCACCCAGTATTTTGAGTCTTGAGAGTAGAATAATAATATTGCTTTCCTATCAATGATTTGTCCTTTCTGCTGTTTTAATTTGATCATGGTTCGAAACGGAATATTTTCCTGTCTCCCACATGCTTTTGCACACAATTTTTTTCATTCAATTTCAATTTTATTAAGAATAGTCAACATAGCAGGGGTACATAGTACTCCTGAATTGTGTGGACTTTACATATTATTAAGTATAAGAAACGCACAAGACAATTACATACAAGAGTGGGACATGAAACAAAAGAACACTAGGTCTGCATTTCGCTATTGTACAATCTGATTGTGCAATGGAGGAACGAGTTATACAGTCATGTAGGTACCCATATCAATATTATTTCTATGATGTATCATCAGGTTGTTATTTTTGTTGTTTTTTATTGTCAATTTGTAATCTTTCTTATTATCATTATTGTAATTATGATTACCAGCCTCCAGGTAGTAGAGTGGAATCCCAGTTTTCAAAATTCAGATAGAATAGAATTTTTTATTATTAATTCATTATCGAATGGAATTTGACAAACCGTGTATTACAAGCTCCACATGTTCATGCATCAACAACTTAACAACATGATGTTTCCTTTTACACCCTAAATGCATTCGATATATTGTGTAGTAACAGTACCATCAATATTACTATAAATTGCATTTTGTTTCTACTGCCAAACAACTCGTCGTGGCGTGGCGTCGTGTGGTGTAGTGGTACATCACTGGACTATGAAACGGGGAGACCCGGGTTCGATTCCGAGTCGTACCCGAACAAGTCCGAACATGCGCCCCGACGTTGTACCCTTGGGAAAGTACTTTACACTTTACCTCACTTCACTTCACTCAGGTGAAAATGAGTACCTAGCTTTGGCTAGGGACGTCCCTCGGATAGGACGTTAAATGGAGGTCCCGTGTTTGGGAGAGCCACACCCCACGCACTTTAAAGAACCCACCGCACTTATCGAAAAGAGTAGGGGACCTTCCCGGTGTGAGTGGTTCAAACCTTACAGTATGGTCTCGGGGTTGACATCTTTGAAAAGGTGATAGTCACCTGTTATGTCAAAGGCTTGAAAATAACGCATTAATTTTCTCCATCTCATAGATGCTGCAGAAGAAGGACGAACCATCTGGGAGCGACTGTGCCAAAGTTGCACAGGCCGACACATCGGCTTTATCATCATCATCATCATCACGTCTGTCATCATGGTAACACTGATGGTACACGTGATTCTGATGCACACCGGCTCCCCAACGTCTCACCTTGACTCGGTAAGTTTTCTCGCTTGTTTGAACGGTACAAAAAATCGCCCATTCCCTACATTGTTGAGCTGTTAAACGCTAGTTAAATGCAGTTCTTCCCTACTCTTACTTAAGAGGGCATAGAGTGACTGAGTGCGGCTAGCATTGACATTTACCTCTACTAGTAGTGTAAATAGGCATTATTATAGCTCTCTCAGGACACCAACTCGACCAGATGATGATCATAGCTCTCTACCGTTTTTGTGTGATTATTGTGTAAATCATGTATTTTTTAAACCATTAGTATTGTTTAATATCTAATTTTATAAATTGTAAGAACAACTCAATTCAGACTCGAGGTCTGCTAGTTGTTTGAATAAAGATTGATTGATTGATTGATTGATTGATTGATTGATTGATTGATTGAACATGTACTATATGTGATGAAAAATGGCTTTCTTGCATTCTTACTCACTCAGGACAAAAATTTTGAGTTGCCAACCTTTTTTTGTTTGGTTAACTTATTGATTCACTGTATTGTTTCATCACAAAACTTGATTATTTTGTTGAATTGATCCATGGTTTCATTGTTACAGTATTGTTTCACTTACTTTTTATGTCTTAATTCATATTTGATTTGACAAAATTGCAATAATGTAAGATCATGATGGGGGGAGATATCAAACAAGCCATTATGGCTTTTGCTCCACCCCTGCACGCTTACTTTTCAGTTGTTTCATGTTTTGTAAACTTTGCTTTTATTATGTTTGTGCAAAGAAATCAAATCAAAATCAATATTACCTTGCATATGCAGTTTGTTTGTTCGTTTGTCAGAAGGATATGAGCTTGTGAAATGAAATCGTTCAGGTATATACATGCAATATACAAGAATTACAAGCAAGAAAATTACCTTTCTAACATAAGGAGCTTTGACATACGTCGAGCAATCACAAAACTCAGAATTGGATGTCACAAACTCAGTATAGAAACCGGAAGATTTCAAAGGCTTCCTATTGACCAGAGGGTTTGTCCATTCTGCCCAGAACTAGTTGAGAATGAGTATCACTTTTTGATGGAATGTCCTAAGTATGTTGATGTACGCAATTCATTAAATACGAAACTATCGTCATATGTACCAGAATTTACATCGATGGATTTAAGTAGCAAATTTAAGATAATAATGACCTGTGATAACCCATGTATGGTAGATATAGGAATGTATATCAAACAATGTCTAGACATAAGAAATTCCTCCAATATTGTAAAAGTTCATTCACATCCTATATCAGCCACAAACTCCTGTATTAGTTAGTTTAGTCCATAGTTAAGTTTATAGATAAGTTTTGCCATACTTTGTACCATGTACAACTGTTGTGCAATAAAGTTATTATTATTATACTAATGTAAAGTATTGCATAATCCAACAATATCTATCTGTTTGTAGCCTGTGATCACCAATGGAGGAACGGACACCACTGACGCTACTGGACATGCCTGGCAGAGCTCTGCTGAACCGAGGACTGTGATGTTGGCTGACATCATCAAGGTCAGAAGCTGCTCGATTAGGCGACACCAGTTTGATTTGTTGGTTCTTGGATTTTTTTCACAAACAATAATAATTATGAATATTGTAAATTATGTCATATGTGATGGGATGTTTCTTTTTAAAGTCTTTAATCCTTTGAGACATTTGATATTGAATTGTAAAGTAGAGATAGATATTTTGAGTCTGCCAGTGCTACTAAAGTTTCTGATGTTAGTCTTATGTCTATGTCTGAATTTTATAAATAACTGTCACACAGGTTGATCCGGCCCGCGGGCATAGCCCTCCGGACTCAGTCCCTGGGAAAGTGGAGACTGCCGGACCTACCCGAGCCACCATGGCCAGGCCGCTTTCCGTGGACACTAAAGGTTTGTCATTTACTGATCTTCACGGACTTCTAGTACTCCCCAAACAGAGGTTTGGGCTTTGGCTTAATTTTGCCATGTTTTTAAGTTTTATTGAGCTTTTTTTGTACTGATATCTTGTTTAAGATTAAAAATAAGCCTACTGGTGAATTTCTACTCTTTTCAGCCACTTCCAGATGCTTGGTAGAGGCTAAGTAAGGAACTGGCGTTTTCTGACAAAGCTCCTTCTTTTGTATTGCTGTAGAAGTGTCTGTCGGAAGCAGCAGCGCACGGGTTATCACCTTTGGTGACGCGTCGGGTGCTGGAAACCTGGGCGGCGCGCGCGCGGTCGCAGTCTCCCCAGACAACAAGATCTGGGTGGCTGACCAGACCAAAGCACGCCTTCAGGTGTACAGCATGGAAGGTGCCTTCTTGCGCCAGTTAGCACCAGGGCTGGGCTACCCAGGAAAGGAGCCGGTTGACGTGTCCTTCGACAGAGATGGCGACATCTGGGTCTTGACGAGTGGGTACCCTACCAGCGTCGACACCGTGGTCTGCTTCGACAGAGAGGACCATCTCAAAGCCAGCTTCAACCTCCCTGACGACGTACCACGGGGGGCAACCCGCGGACTGGCGGTGGGCGTGCATGTGTACGTCACCTGGTCCGAAGGTTACAGTGGCGGCGTGCAAGCCTTCCAGCCTGACGGGAAGTTCCTGTGGGGCGTTGGCCCGCAGCAGCGGATGAAGATGCCAACGAAGGTTGCTGTCAGCCGGGAAGGGTACGTCTACGTCTCTGACTTTGGCCGTTACTACATCTACGTGTACACCACAACCGGACGATACGTGAGGAAGTTTGGAGGACTGGGTAATGACGGTGGCCGCCTGAGTCGTCCTCGTGGCATCTGTACGGACAGTTCCGGTCACGTCCTGGTGGTGGACCCTTGCACCCATCGTGTCGTGATGTACTCAGGCCGGGGCGCGTACGTCCGCGACATCGCCATCCCCCGCCATTCTGCATACTGCACTGCGGTGGATGTTGCAGTCGGGCCAGGAGGACAGTTGGTTGTGGCCAACACAAAGACAATCTTTGTGTTCCCCCGCTACTGACAAGGCTCATGTTGATTTCATTATATGGATGACATCCGTGCGTGCATGAATTCCCCCCCCCCCACCTGCGAAGTGAGCAAATACATGTATATGCAGTAAATTGAGGGAAAAAATATTGGAAAGCAATTATACTAATGGCCTAAATCAATCCCAAAGAAAAAAAGAAACTGGAAAGAATTGAAAATGAAGAGTAATTTATTCGCCATACTACAATGTTTTGTTTACCGGTAGTCCTTTTTCCAAATTTCATGATAACATACATTTCACCAAGAAGCCAACCCCCAAACTGTTTTAATTTGCACGCTCGCATCACCTTTTTGGTTTTTCAGAGGATGTCATCCATACATCAACATGGCCTAATGCTGTGCAAGGATTTGCCCTAAAGTTTGTAAAGTTGAGACTTGAGAGAGAAGGTTTCGCGCTTCTCTCCGTGGCAAAAACTCCCTCGGCAGCAAATCGTCCCTCCGCGGCATATTACTCGCGTCGCTCAGAGAAAAAATTACGCCGACGCCCAACAAGACTGCGAAGGAGGCTAGTAAAGTTGCAATAAGCGTAGCAGTTTGGTGGTATATAATACTTTAGCTGTTTAGCCCAGGTTTCAAGACCTATTCAACAAAGAATCATACGTATATATATACTGACCAACTTCTGTTACTTGTAAGTGGCTGTCAAAGTTGCATCAAAGTGCCTTGTATATTTTTACATTTGCATTCAACTTGAAAATATTTTCCTTAGCTGATTCAGAATTTTAATGGTTATGTTAAGAAATTTGGATTGTAATTGCAGTGTCAAACAAGTATAAACTTTGGCTCTATAGAACAGTAGAGAATGTAATAGTACAAAATTGTAGTAGCAATGTGATAGTAGCAATGTGAAAAAAGTTGAAATTGCGAGTAGCAATCATGTGATATGTAACTGCCAGCCAAAGTCTCATACTACCAGGGAGAGCATGGCAAGCCAGAGTTTTTATTGTTCTGTATTCTGGGTTAGGTGCTAATGTAGCTAAGTAACGAATGTTTGTGTGCACAACCATGCTTCAATTCCACATTAATATCTTAGCATGAAACTCTTGGTGAAACTCTGGCACAATCAGTTTACCTAAAGCCCGAACTAAGAGACTTAACAACTCGTTCCTTCATTGCGCTGTTCGCCTCTATAACAAGACAATCCAGCAGTAGTGTTATATATATTGTACCTAGCTAAATTCTTCGTGATAACTGCGTATTTAATCTGCATAGATTTTAATTGTGTTATCGTCTTAAGATTGAAGTCGCCTATGTTCGCCTATACAATCGTCTTAATATGTGTTCACCTATGTTGTTTCATGTGCACGATGAAGAGTGTTTTTAATGTTCTATATCCTATTGTAATAAGGACGAAATTCGGGTAGTCGCCCGCGAGATCCTTACTGAATAAAATTTGATTTGATTTGATGAAGTTAATCTGTGTTGGTATACTTCATTATGACAATTTAGTAATGCTCAGTGTTGGGAAGAACGTTTAGCCCTTTTTGTCATATTAATATCTGATCTAAAACGTGTCTTGAAGAGTAACAACATGTATATAACTGTCTTTGCCAGGTCCCTAGTGATGTAAACACCTAATAAGCAGTCAGTGGCAGACTCAAGGCTATAGTTTACCTTTGCTTAAATTTTAAGCAAATCCGCGGATTCAGAGGGGGGCGCACCCGGCGCGCGCCTCCCCGTTCGACCGGGCAAAAAAAATTTAGACGACTGGCCAAACACAAAATTGCAGAAAAAAACATAACACAAAGAATAGAAAGGAAGCCTATGGTTACGACCAGTTCTTCCCGGACACGTATCTCGGACTGTAGATGTACAGAGCTGGGGCGACGGAGCGCCGCGCACGTGTTAATAATCCAGTTTTACACTATGACATTAGCGGGCACGCCCCACCACGCCTAGACTCGATTATTATTTCACTACTGTGAATCCCTAGCCTTTGTGCCTCCCATCTATCGTCGATATTGACACGACGTTGCAGTAAAACAAGACTCGGACGCACGGTAAGAAAATGTACTAGGTCACTCACGTCCCGAGCGCAACTTGCCCCGGGTGCTCGTATAGGTCATGCCGACGGGATGGTTCGCCAGCCAGCCGCCGATCTCAGTGGAACCCCGGCCGAAAATAAATACCCCCGTAAGAATAAACACAATTCTAAGAGGGTTGGTAAGGTCTGCAAGCCGTGAACGTTCTTGGTCGTCGTAACGTAACATGAATATAACATGGCAGTTTTGCCTCAACTGATGGCCAGTTCTAATCATACTAATGCACTTTCGGCTCTAGTTAACACAGAAATCTTTAACAAAGATTATATCCATGCCGTTACAATGGTTTGGATGACAGAAATCTTTTCATTTCGTATCACAAATCTCTTTAAATCCTAAGAAATGCTGCAGGAGGATTATTTTGTAGCGGGAATGTACCAGCCACGGTACGAAGTGAAAAAGTGCGGGGTAGATGTACACGGTACGTTTTGTTACAATTATTGGGGCTTTGAAATCTTTTGCCGCCCGCCGGGTGGGCGGGGCCCATAACTGTGCCATTGAGGGCGTGACGCCGCTCTGTCTGATCAGGACGTGCCGTCGTCTTGGCAACACGTAGGAACCGTCCCAGCGACAAGAAGGTTTCCATGCTGGGAAGTTTTTATTCCTTTGATTTTGTGACATAAGCAGTAGTTTATTTTTTTGAAACTTTTTCGCTCTTTCCCGTTCAGAATTCTAAGTCCCAGTAGCCCCTCGTTCTTCTTTTAGTTTGCATCAAATTTTGAATTCGGTAGCACAGGCTCACTTCTCCGCCTCCGTAATCGTTGCTCTCCGATGGGCGGTCAATCGAATTTTTGATAAACTACGCCGAGCTAACTTTTCCGTGGTCCGGTCAGGTTGCAGGCAAGGTGGCCCCATTCAATGTGTGTCTTCCGCTGACACCCGGCGCTCCAGAATTTAGTATCCTCCTAAAATTTTGTGAACTCTTGAAAATGGTAAACACGTGCGCGGCGCTCCGTCGCCACGGCCGTTACTTCACGTTATCCGTTAGTGTATTTGAGTTCTGCGATGTTGTGACCGCGCGTTCCCCGCGATCGGAAAATGTTTTAAGTGATCCGGTCTATAAACAGGCGGCATTTCCTTTTGTATTTGTTTCTTTTTTTCGCTAACTAAAATCCATCGTGAAATTTAGTCGTCCCAAACATAGATGCATTTTCAATATTCTATTTCCTTAGTCGTAAAATGTACCGACAGGCACATGAATGTACTGAAAACACCAGTATTACTTCGTTGCTTATTTGCTCAGAAATGACTCTAAAACACACCAGAGAGACTCTCAATTTTAAAAATTTTCTGGGGGAGGCCCCCAAGCCCCCCCAACGAGAGGGGGGCTTCCCCCCTCTCGTGCTCTCCCCCCGCGCTGACGCGCTACGCTTACGTGGCCTTCGTCAGGTGGTGCGCCACCCCGGATCCGCGGATGGACCGTCACTACGTGATCAAAAATTGACCCACAGTGACAAAGGTCGAAATATGTTGTTCTAAAGGTATCGCGGAATGGACTAAAGTACATGTAACTAAACTTGATAGGCATCTTCTAGGTTGATAATGATTTTGACAAAAAAATATTAAGTCGAACTACTACTAAGAAAGTCATACTTTAGACGAAACTTTGACCAGTATGCGTTCAATATTGTTTATGATTATTAACGCTGTGTGTTTAATTCAAGTTAATTTCTAACGCTATGTACATTGGGCTATATTCCAACTAGGAGGTTTAACGTTATAGAAAACGAAAATGAAATGTAAATACAAACAATTGACTAAAAAAACAACGGCAAAAAAGTACGTTTCCCTCTAATTTTAGTGGAAATATACCTTTTCATTTGATAAATCTAATAATCAAACATTTGTTTTATCATTTAGTTCAAGAGCAAACATGAAGTGATAAACCAACAGCGCTCGAGAGAACTTTGACACAGTGTGCAGGCAGCCCTGGGTAAGAGAGCCACTCCCTTTGCGTTCAACTTTGACCCCACCCTCTCGTGCCCAAAACAGGATCCGCCATTTTGAGAATTTTTTCTTCGGGAAGTTTCTCCGGAACTTGTGTCTACCAACTTTTACAAGGTTTGAGACTTTCAGGAGCAACATTAATAGGTAAGTCTACGTTGTGACATTAGTTAATATGATACAGAAGGAAGTTTGACTCAAATTTAGGTGAATTTAAGGCCGGCGTTGCTCTGTTCGTTGACTTGTGGGCGCAAAAATCAAGATGGGGGAGGGGGGCGTAGCTTTTGAGGAAGTCATGTGAGATGAGAAGGATATTCTGAGAAAGAAATTCTTCCACAGGCAAGAAATTTTTGCTTTTGGAAGAATTCATTTGCCTCAAAAAGCTAGCTTTTTTCGTAGCAGATATTGCCAAGCAACTTAAGCTATGGCATGCTTGCAAAATTTATAAGGTGTAAACATAATTTTCGTCATTACTCCAGTTACTTATTAACTTACTCCAATTACGTCAGTAAACAGACCAGTTGTATAACGTAGAATGTGGTATGTGTCTAGTTAAGCTGGTGTGTTTACCCTGAAGGACAGTTATACTGGCTATACAGATACAGATAGTACATGTATATCAATCAATCAATCAATCAATCAAATAAGTGTCACTATTGTTCAAACTATTAATTTATAAGCGTTACTATACAGCAAGTTTCAACTGTAATTTCCAACACAAGAAATTTTCGACTGTACAACTCCAGTCTTGTCAAGGAATGAGCAATCCACTGCTTCTGTGACGTCACTCAGATAACACACGTGACTCCGTGAGCAGAGACGGGGGGCGCCACAGACTTTCTGCAACCTATGATCCACTGCTCACGGAGTCACGCGTGTTATCTGCGTGACGTCACGGAAGCGGTGGATTGTTCATTCCTTGACAAAGACTGGAGTTGTACAGTCGAAAATTTGGGTGAGTCCAATTTCTTGTGTTGGAAATTACAGTTGAAAGTTGCTGCATAATGACTTCTACCAACACAGATGAACTTTCAAGATAATATAAGCGTTACTGTTGTGCCTTTCCACAGTGATGGAGACCACCAATGGTAGCAGTGCTGAAGGTGAGAGTCCACAGTACCAGTGCTCACACTGTGACTACCAAACTACCAGGAAGTGTAGCTTGGACAGGCACCAGAAGTCCCACTCTGGAAACAAAACCTTCAGATGCAAACACTGCGACTTTTCCACCAACAGTGAACAGTACTTGGAGGTACATGTGATGAAGCACACTGGAGCTGGTATAAGGTACCTTTGTGAGGAGTGTGGGTTCACCACTGCATCCAAGTCTCAGTTTACAACTCACTGTAGAACTCACGCAGCCTTCAAGTGCGACAAGTGCGATTTCTCGGCATCACAGAAGGGTAACTTAGACAGACATACACAGAGATGTCACAGTGACGCAAGCAAGGCGGCGGTCCTAAAGTGCGACAGTTGTAAGTATCGTACGAAAGTAAAAGACAGTCTTCTCCGGCATGTGAAGCAGCGCCACCCAGAGAAAGACATCAGGAACTGCAGCGTAGTGTGTGACTTCATGGTTCCTCTTGATGCACACATGAAAATGCACACAAATGAAAAACCTTCAGAAAGTAATGGAACAGGTAATGGTCAGGAACAGGAATGCTACTCTAGCCAGCGCAGAAAAAGAAGCATCAGCACTCTAGAAGAGAGTGTTAAGGGTACCGATTCTGATGTATCAAATACCACCAGGAGGTTGTTGCGTAAACGCACTGCAACTGATCACAAGAACGTTTCCGAGTCGCACGCAGAGCTGCGCTGCAAAGACTGCGGTTACGTCGCTACGAACAAGTCCTGTCTCACGCGACACACGAGGACTCACACGGGGGACAGGCCGTTTAAGTGTTCTCTTTGCAACTACGCCACCACACAGAGCTGCCACCTGGACAGACACATGGACTGGCATGCCGGAAAGGTGAAGAAACCCTTCGCGTGCAAGACGTGCAAGTACAGGGCGTACAGCCGTTCTACCCTGGAGGAACACGAAAGAATACATACGGGTGAAAAGCCTTTCAAGTGTGAACAGTGCGACTTCGTAACGGCCCACAAAAAGTGCCTTAGAACTCACATGGCCAAACACACAAAGGGAGATGACCTCCAGTGTGTCCAGTGTAGTTATAAAGCTCCCAGTGGATATGCGCTGTACGTACACGCCATGAAACACACCAAGGATAAACCATGTGTGTGCAGTCTTTGCGGGTATAAGACATCCTCAAAGGGTGATCTGAAGAAACACACTGCTACCTGCAAGAGGACTGACAAAACACCCAAAAACAATGTAGAAAGCACATGCAACAGTCCCTCAGTCAACAATGTGACTTCAGAAATGCAGGAAGAAGTGGCAGGTAGTAGTTTAAGTCTAACTACCAATACAGAACCACAGCAAACACAGGCCAACTTAGGCCAGGACTGTAGTGACAATACAGAAGAACAAGTCAGAAAGGAATTTAAACCTGTAGCAGAAGTATCAATAAGTTCTGATATAGCAGAAAAAATAGTGCCTCTTGACTGTCAGGAAAGTAACAGGGAACAAAAAGAAGCCAGTATAAATGGTCCAGGCAAAGACTTTGACTGTACTGCCATGAAACTCGACCAAGAAACGCTCCCCCCTTGCAAGATGCAAACAAAACCCAGTGAGCTTGTGAGAAATGTAGCTACTGATACCACACTAGATCACAAGAATGCTGTTACAGGTCCAGCCAGTATAGTTGACATCATTGTAGACACAGCAGATTCAAGTCAAGAGCCTATGAAGAATGAACAGATAGTCTGTAGTCTAGAGAAAGATGGAGACAATGGGCTGTCACTGGCACAAGCAGGAGATGAACCAAGTGCAGATCTTGATTCTGTAGAACAAGTTCAGTCAGAAACTTGTCAGAGTTCAAGTGCTGTAGGCAACATGACTGTAGAAGTAGAATCTGATGACACTGGGTCTCAGCAAAGTCAAGTAGTGATAACTACAGCCAAGGGTGTAGGTAGGTGACAGTGACTTATTATATAATTACATGTTACATGATAGAAATTTTAAATTATAAGAAGGGTATACAAAGTAGTACAAAGATTTGTCAGCTTGTGTACTTTTTTCCATTCTGATGTACATGCAGGGCTCGAAATACTGGCATGGGTGCATGTGCACCTTAGTGCACCCAAAATTGGATCTGTGCATCCAATTATTTTCAGTGGGTGCACTGGTGCACCCAGATATTTTTGTAGGTATTTTTTACATATCAAATGCGTAATAGTATACGGGATATTTTTGGCATCTAAGTATCAGAAATATAATATAAAATCTTTCTTGTAGTATACGTACTTGTTTAAGATTTTGAAGTCAGATGCCATTTCCAATTCAAGCTGAGAAGAGAAGCGGTAAGATCTCTAATTAGGTTTTGTTTCATGGTGCACCCAAAAAAATTTTTGTGCACCCAATTTTTTAGGTTGGGTGCACCAGTGACCAGTGCAGCTATTCCCAAATTTCGAGCCCTTACAGACATGTATATGGCATTTTTGTAACCTTTCTAATGTGTTACATGCATGCATCTCTGAAATCAAACATAGCTATAACAGTGTTAGCTAGGCTATACATTGTTAGGAAATTCTTGTATACAGTCATGTTTCCAATGTTTCTTTTCTGTAGCTTGGTTACTAGACCTATAATAGCTCCCAAGTCCTACATCCTATTTGCAGAGCGGATGTAGGACTCGGGAGCTATAATAGGTCTAGTAACCAGGTTATCTTTTCTGATGTCAGATAATGTTTTGTTTTCCTAATGCTGCATTGCATCATTTCACAGGAAATGGACAACCTGTGGAGACCGAGATGTTCAAATTCCAGTGCACCACCTGCATGTACAAGACCAGCCACCAGAAGGCCTGGGACCTCCACCTGCATCAGGTGCACCCCTCGGGCGACACCTACAGCTGTAGCACCTGCGACTTCTCCACGAGTAGTGATGTCGCTCTCCTCGAGCACAGAATGCAACACCACTCTTCTTCCACTGCCTTTTCCTGCAACCACTGCAAGTACAAAACTAAGCAGAAGGTTCAGCTGGAAAGACACATGCGTCGACATAGCAAGGAGAGACCGTTAAAATGCGATCAGTGCGATTTTGCTACTGCGAACGAGCAGTCCTTCAAACAGCACACAGCGGCACACGGCAACGAGAAACCGTTCGCGTGCCCGGAGTGCGATTTTAAGGCCAAGTATAAACCGCAGCTGGCGCGCCACATGATGACACATGCAGACAAGTTGGGGAATGTCGATCATCTTCTAGGTGTGAAGGTGTTCTTGTGTGAGGAGTGCGGCTTCTGTGCTTTCAACAGCACTTCCTTCAAGAGACACGTGAGGTCGCACACGGGAGAGAGACCCTTCAAGTGCGAGCAGTGCGACTTCTCCACCGCCCAGAAGGGCCACCTGAAACGCCACATGAGCTGGCACAACGGCACGCTGAAAAAGAGACACGCGTGCACCCTGTGTTCTTATAAGACGGAAAGCCGCACGTGCCTAACCACTCACATGAACATTCACACTGGCGTAAAACCCTTCAAATGCCACCTGTGTGACTTTGCGTCCGCTCACAAACGAAGCTTAGAGCAGCACCTCGCCCGCCACAAAGGGATCAAACGTTTCACCTGCGACATCTGCGGATTTCAGACCGCAGAAAGCTCCCAAATGACCCTCCACAAGAGAAAACATCTACCCAACAAACAACTGCAGTGTGATCAGTGTAAATACTCGACAGTTTGGCCGAGCAACTTCAAGACCCACATGTTGAAGCACAAGGGTGTGCAGAAGCACAGGTGTCACCTGTGCAACTTTAAGTCAACCGACAAGACTGCGCTCGCTGCCCATCGCGAGACAGCTCACAAGGATAAACCGTACAAGTGCACTTTCTGTGACTTTGCCACCGGCTACAAGAAAAGCCTGAGCCTGCACCTGATGACACACACAGGCGAGAAACCTTACGCTTGTGACATGTGTGAGTACAGGTCCTTACTAAAGTGCAGTATGGACGAACACAAGAGGAGGCACGTTGGAGACAAACCCTTCGCTTGTGACCTCTGTCCATACAAGTCTGTCAAAAAGAGTGCCCTGACCAGGCATATGAAGAAACACACCGGCGAGCGGCCCTACCAGTGCGACCAGTGTGGTTTCAGGGCCTCGCAAAAGGAGACCATCAACCGCCACTTGGAGCGGCACATCCGGGAGAAAGTCTTCCAGTGTTGCAAGTGCGGGCTCAAGACGGGAACGGCTGGCAAGTTGAAGAAGCACCAAGAGATATGTCAACAGTATGTCCAGGTGCCGGTAGGGCGGGTACACGTGCCATTGTTCAACCCAGACGATGTGCTACAGCAAGCAATGGCACAGGCCTCTCCAGAGCTAGAGCCTACCCAGGACAGCATACAGGTTAGCACAGTACAAACTGAGGATATACTGCATACGTCAGTGCTCAATCTTAGCACACAGACGGAAGAAACAATTTCACAGTCTACAAAACTAGGCATAACAGCCATCATTCCCGATGCAAACATGGAGACAACAAGAAGTGGAAGCCCAGAAACAAATGTTGTGCCAACCAGTGAGAGTCAAAAGCAGTTCAACCTATCTGTTGGTAGGACTGTGGAAGTAACCAATGAAATCCCAAGTTCTAGTGTGGTAACAAGCAGTGAAATAGACAGTACAGGTGTGGTACCAACCAATGGCAGTGTTGGAACATGTGAGGAAACAGGTGTGGAAGGGACCAATGAAATCACCAGTACAACTGTGGACACAGCCAATGAGATGGCTAGCACAGGTGTGGAGCTAACCAATGGCAGTGCAGGATCAGATGTGGAACTGACCAATGGCAGTACAGGAACAAGTGAAGGACTGATCACCACCATTTCAATTCCAAACGCGATACAGCTGACCGGACAAGACGGAGAGATCATTCTTATCGAACCGGGAGTGTTCGAGAACGGCGGATTCCTCGGAACAAGTGGAATGCAGATTCGCGTAACTCCGGAACAAATCCTACAACTTCTAGAACGGAACACCCTCCAGGACAGCGGACAGTCAGAAACAGAGACAAAAGAAACTCAATCATGATACAAAGTCACAGAAATATTCCCACACCACAGAGTGTTTAAAAGCTATTTTGTTGGTTTGTTTTGTTGTTTTTGTTGATTCTAGACATGTAGCTTTCACAAAACAGCACCTGCTCACTTACAAACTTCAGTAAAATAGTAGCTCTCATTTGCATAGCTATTGAAACCACTATGGTATTTACCTGTAACATTGAGAATCAAAACAGTGATGATACAAAATCACAGAAATATTTCCACACCGCATAACATTTAAAAGGTACGTGTATGTTGTTGGTTTGTTTTATTTGTTGATTCTAGGTACGTAGCTTACGCGAAACACCACCTGCTCACTTACAAACTTAAGAAAAACAGTACCTCTCATTTTCATAGCCATTAAAACCACTATGGCATTTATCTAGCCTCCTTCGCAGTCTTGTTGGGCGTCGGCGTTATTTTTTCTCTGAGTGCAGTGACGCGAGTAATATGTGGCCGCGAGGGACGATTTGCTGCCGAGGGAGTTTTTGCCACGGAGAGAAGGTTTCGCGCTCTCTCCGTGGCAAAAACTCCCTCGGCAGCAAATCGTCCCTCGCGGCGGCATATTACTCGAGTCGCTCAGAGAAAAAAATAACGCAGACGCCCAACAAGACTGCGAAGGAGGCTAGCATTTATCTGCAACATATTGAGAATCAAAACTAATCAAGTTGAGTCTGTAAAGTTTTATACTGCAAGGAAAAAATTGGCAAAATGCTGCAGATATAATGATTAAGAAATATTGTAAAGCAAGACGAAGGAAGCCTTGTATTCATATTCATACATAACTGTTCTTTTAATTGTAAATCAGGTATTTTTTGTACTCTCTAAAAGTCTAATAAGATTGTTGTTAGTAACAAAACCAAACATTGAACAGTTGCTACAACCAGTGCAACTGTATCTGTGTGACTGAAAAGATACAAACATATAAGTTATATGAAAGTAGACTGCCTTGTACATGTTTTGTGTTGAAAATGCATACAAATCAGTATCAAAGAGTGTTGAAGACAACGTGATGCAGGTGTGATAAAGCCATTCCTTTTTTTTTTATTAAAAAGATACAAAATGTTTTTCAGGATTACATTTGTGATGATTTTTTTTAGTTAGTTTTAACGTATAGTGAAAGCTCAGCTCAATCTCTTGGCTGAAGTTTTGTGTAGAATCGGTTGGGAATCTCTCGTTTTAGACAGGCAAGTCATATTTTATCATGTACTAAAAACTTTATGATAATTCAGATTTGGCTCAGAATTTAGATGTATTGAATTGATGACTGCATTTCAAACATTGAAAAGAACAACGCTAGTTAATGAGCATACTTTATGAAGACGGTATACAAATTTTGATATGTTGTGATGCTCAGGCCACACAAATTTCTTGGGTCTCGAGAGTATGTGTGTTTGTGTGTGTGTATGTGTGTGTGTGCTTATGTGTGTCAACCTCAAGGCCGCCAGTCCTTTAATGCAACCTCATAAGAAAAAGGAACTTTACCAAAGTAGCCTTGATGCCAGACTTTTCTGAGGGCCATACACAGCAGGCCAGCCCTCACCTAGACCCTGTGATGCTCAGGGTCTTATCATTGTATATAAACTGAGGTTTTCCATGGTTAAATTTCCTTGGGGACATGTTGGCCCTGTAGCCTAGAAACTAATCTGTATGTAGCCCTGGCAACAGCCTGGCACCCAGGCTACAATGTAGATCAGGTTTACATGTGGCTAGACGAGGAGCTTGTATCACCAGAAGCTCCTTTGGCTAGATTACAGAGGTAAGTTGTTGTCTCCACATTCCTTTCCTTACACTCAATAGCTATGAAAGTAAACACAATCTGATGAGAAGCAACATTCAGTACACAAATGAAGGTTCCTTTGGTAACACTAACTAGTAAACACTAACAGGTAGGCAAGGTGAAAGCTAAGATCTCCTGCACTTCGCCTGATGGTCGCTAGATGTCAGCCGTGCACGGTCAGACATCCCCACGGGACCGTTTGGTACCAGCGGCCCGACGGGTTTCCGCCGCCCCGTCAGGAGTGCCTTTTGTCCCGCCCGACCTTTGGACGATCCGCGCCGTGATCCCGACGCGTTACTTCCGGTCGAGGCATTCTGAGAAGGCCGTCAGCATGTTCTAATGCAAATGTAGCCGCTCCGACTCTTTCTCTGGCATCGCAGGAAGTTTCAAGAAGACCGGGAACCGAGCCAAAGGAAAGTTCAAGACCCGGAAAGTTTGGAGGTGGAGTGGGAAGTCGGGAGGCATGTTCAGCCGGGGCGTTGTTGTCTGAAGATCGCGAGAACAGAAACCTTTTCCAGAAATGGACAAACTGCAAGGTGGGTTGAGCAAATGTTTATTTTCCCGTGTGGTGCGATTCGGGGCTGTTTTAGATCTACGGAGAGAATGTTTGCCGGGCTGTTATTTTACGGGTGAACTGACGGGAAACGGAGACGGGCTAGGGCCGGGCTGTCCCCGGGACAAAGAGAAATGATAAACGGGGCATGCTGTGTAAGCGAACCGCCCCTCTTATCGCCACGCACCGATAAACATTTACTTCGTTCCCCCCACAGTAACTTTATACCTCCTCTTTTATCATTAACAGATGTACGTGTAAAAAGTTTCTAAAGTGAATTCCTATATCCTAACTTGTTTTAAGTGCTACCTGCTGTATCCAGGTGTTTTGAGAATGCCTGTCCCTAAGGCCACGCCTTCTTATGACGTATTTCAAGGCTGTTTTATAACCCAAGATAAGAGACTTCACAAATCCAAACCCCTCATTTCCGCTTGTTCAGTGTTGATATGTTTGAAGTATGTTGGCTGGTGATTTTTAACTTCTATTTTGTAGGAAGTTGTATGGCACAGTATTAGTTAAAAGAGCTTGGCAATGATGCTGATGCACGAAATGTTATTGTTTTTATCAAAATTCAAATTCAACCTGTCAAAAGTGATGGATTACAAAATTTTATTTGATATATTTTCATATATGATATTGCCTATGGAGAGAAAAGAAAATTGAAATTGCTGTCTCCAGAAGTGATGATGCAAAAAGACTCAGAAACTTTTTTTAACATGATGTTTATTCAGATATTAATATTTATCCATTCATCTTGTTTCACACAAAAATAAAATAATTTTCATTGTCTCGATCATGTCAGGATCAGATAAAACCAATGAGATCTGCACACAAATTAATCTAAATCAAGAGAACATAATATATTTTTTATTCAATAGCAAACAGCCAAGGACAATGTTTCCATGTAACTACAATTAATTGCTTTATAATGTTTTGGTGCATCGTACAAATGGAATACGTAAGTGGCCCACTTTCTAGCATTCAAGGCTGTGAGATCACTCATACACTCCAATTATTTGTTGCCTTTTTTGGATAATGGTCTGTAAAGCCAGTCTCTAGGGATTTGATATAGACCTGAATCACCTGAGACCTTAAATGCACATACAGGGCTCGAAATTCATTTTTGGGAATAGGTGCACTGGTGCTAGCCTCTACCAGGCACCGCGGATCGCTGGGAAAATAATAGAAATTGGGACCCGTGGGTCGCAAATTGGAGCTTCTATGGCCCGAGATCTTCTCTGGTATACTATCCCTTTATTTCGGCCAATTTCTACTATTTTTCCAGCAATCCGCAGTGCCTGGTAGAGGCTACACTGGTGCACCCAACCTGAAAAATTAGGTGTACAAATTTTTTTTGGGGTGCTCCATATAAAACAAAACCTATATATATTACAGATCTTACTGCTCCTCTTCTAAGCTAAAATCTGAAATGGGAGCTAACTTCAAAATTTTAAACAAGTACTTCAACAAGGATTTTATTATTTTTCTGACACTTTTCACGCCAAGAAAATCCTGTATACTATTATACATTTAATATGTACAAAAATATCTACAAAATGTTTGGGTGCACTGGTGCACCTACAGAAAAAAATTGGGTGCACAGCTCCAAATTTGGGTGCACTAAGGTACACATGCACCCAGTATTTCAAGCCCTGACATATTTACATGGCTGACACTTATAAAGACTCATATAGAAGGCAAAATCATTTCTGGGATTATGATAGTCATATCCAACCTAGAAGCTTTTCTAGAGTTTGTAAAAGTTAATGAGCTTCAGGTGCATTGATTGTCACCCTCCATATCTTTTGAACTTTTAAAAAATATGTTGGATGTGGCTTATCCTTGTAATCTATTCTATCCACTATGCTACTCTGTATTCATATACATGTAATGTCATCAGTATGCATGTAGCCCCATGGGCATGAACATGCAATAAAGATTGACTATTATAATCTTTTGTTTGGCAAAATTGCTTCCACTCCTAGTCCTATTATGAGGCTACTCGAGAAAAAAAAATACAAATTTGGAGGTTATGATATTAGGGTCACTCTCAGCACTGGAAAAAGTGGAAAATACATGTATATACTACATTTTTTAACTTCAATATAAAATGCAATAAACATACATCAAGTGTACATACATGGTTTCTAAGAGGTAGTTTTTACATGTATATATGACGTAAAGATGAGGTATACTTTTAGAGGAGATACAGCAGTGCGGTATACATAATTTATTATGGTTTTACGTAATGACACATATCAGTATGACCTATGGACCTACACTTTAATAAAACATCTCTTACACTTACTTAGTTAAAGCTAGCAGATCTAGGGATATTTTCAAGGTTAGCTTTGTATTTTTTCCACCCCCTGTAAAAGCATTATTTCAGCAGCACCCCCCCCCCTTCTGCTCAAAAATGACTTGATCCTCCTCCCTTTAATGGATAAATGGAACACCCCTAATCTATACCCACCTAGCAGAACTATCATGAACCATCCCCAGGTGTGGTACAACCTGTAATTCACTTTGTATAGTCTGCTGTCCAAACCTATTTTGGTTGCGTAGACCTAGTTACAGCAAGGACATGATGTACATGTATAATGTCCTGGGTAGAGTCTCTTTATTTGTGGAGAAAAGACACTCATGATGCCACACCAATTTAATTTCTTGGTTAACGGATTCGCCCGCTTCATTTTTTTCTGATTTGCAAATAAAAATAAAAATTCAGAATCAACTGCAAAATGCTCATATTTTGCCCTGAACAGATGGAGACAGTCCTTATTCCTAGTTGTTACAGTTATTCCATCTTTTAATGCAATGGTATCAATAAAAGTTCAAAATTCATTGTTTAAATTTTGAACCAGCCTGGTGTGTTGACTTCATGGCTCCTATCGTACCATTTTGGGCCATAATAGGATGCCTAGGCCTGTTCTTCTTCTTATTTTTTTTTTTTGGCCTGCCCGCACCATTATTTCTCCAGAAAGATCTGTTAACCAAGAAATTAAATTGGTGTGGCCTAAGCTAAAATAGCATAGTTCTCTCCAGGCTGTTTGAGCGTAGGGGCCCCCTATGCTGTGATTTTGACCCCCTACGCTGTGATTTAGCCCCCTACACTGTGTTTCAACCAGTGTAGGGGTGGTTTTTGGGGGCAGAAACCATTAATCTTTAAAAAAATGAAAATATAACTTAAGAATGAAGCTATAACAGAGGGAAAACAAAATCTGTCCCCCAATAAACAATAAATAGTGTCTTAAGTGGTTAATATGAGTTACAAAATTTTGGGGGGAGAATATCAGGCCCATGTTTTGGGGACTCGGTGCGTGACTCGCGCCGCAGAAAGTTGCCCTTCTATACCTGACCTCTACGCTGTGAAAAAATCCTGGTGAGAACCCTGAATAGTAATTGTGTTACTACAGACTATCTAATGTCAGTTAGTCAGGTAGCAAAGACAAGCCAAGAAGATAAGTACATGTACATATGGTGCTAATAGTGTCATCACAATTGTGTATTTATTCAGCTGATCCCTTGGAATAACAGGGAGGTCCCAGTTGTTATTCTAGCAGAAACATCCATGCCCTCAGGCTGTCATGTATAATGGTTCATCCCCTAGTTCACTGAATGCACAGAAAAGAGTGGGGCCGACGGATTACAAAGGATCTGCCAAATTTGTAATCTAGATAATATTGAAGATGAATGCCATTTTGTAGTTGACTGCACATTAGGCCACACCAATATAATTTCTTGGTTAACGGATTTTTCTAAAAAAATAATGGAGCGGGCGGGCGAAAAAACCCCCCCAAAAAAACAGGTCTATTATGCCAATTTATGGCCCAAAATGGTACGATAGGAGCTATGAAGTCAACACACCAGGCTGGTTCAAAATTTAAACAATGACAGAATTTTGTACTTTTATTGATACCACTGCATTGAAAGATGGAATATCTCACAGTAACAACTAGGATGAAAAGGACTGTTTTCAACTGTTCAGGGCAAAATATGAGCATTTTGCAGTTGATTCTAAATTTTTGATTTTTAAATTGCAAATCAGAAAAAAATGAAGCGAGCGAATCCGTTAACCAAGAAATTAAATTGGTGTGGCCTAATAAAAGAAAATGTGTAAATGACCTGAGGCTGTAGTCACTATTATATCATACCCGGGCCGCGATAACGTTCGATAACGGGTTCCGGACCGGGCCATACTTTACGGTACGGCCCGGTCCGGAACCTGTTATCGAACGCTTCCATGGCTTCCATCAAACGATTCGAACGCGTTTTGCCCTAACCGCGTGTGCCCCTTTCGAAAATTCGAATACAGAATCCGGATGTTGGAATTGATGTTGTTGCATTTTAGGGTTTAGTGGCACCAACTTTTGGCTCATCTTGCATTGAAAGGCGTGCTTTCTTGGGTTACAGGGTATGACATAAATAAAATACAACACGGTGTATTCCGCATCGCCGTTGGGCCAATACCTCGGGCGATACAGAATACCCCGTGTTGTATTCTATATTTACTATATGTCCTATTGTTGCTGCAGTATTTGCTGTACAAATACCTTTGTACCTTTGATTTCATCAGAACCATTACGGAACACAAGGGTCATTACAATGCAAACATTGTTATTAGGGTTCAGCATTGGTATCCCCTTTGATAAAGTCTAAACAACCCTTAGGACTTCATTAAACACTGGCATTTACAAACTGAACATGTACATTTGATTGTGTGCAGTTCTTCTAGGCTGGTTACAAAACCTATTATAGCTCCCGAGTCCTACATCCAGTCTCAGCTGTAGGACTCGGGAGCTACAATAGGTTTGGTAACCAGGCTACAGTTCTTCTTCCTCCTCTTTTATTATCTGTGCACAATTCTTCTTCCCACTCTTTTATTGTCTAACCTACATGTACCTATTGTCTAACCTACATGTATAATACTATAATAACAGTCTCCTCCAAGATTCCTTTTGCAAAACATTAATTACTGTAAAGATACATTAAGTAACCTTACAGGTAACCCCAAGGCTCTTTTGTTTACTTTGACTTTATCAACATTGTAATACAAATTTTGGTGCACCCTTATTTTAGGTACCAAACTTTAACCTGTTTTGCAGAGCCCATTATATATTATATATATGGGTTGCATATACAGTACTATCTCTATAGGCCCCTGTTTTTGTACAATTTGGGGGTATTTCTCATGCAACACATTGCACTGCGGTATCAAAATGCAACAAATGCAGAAGTAACTACGCCACCGCAAGGCAAAAAAAAGTCAATCCAGCAGGACAATAGTCCGGTTGCCAAACCCCCGATTTTTTGAGAACCTTGCAATGCGGTCCATACAAAGTTTTTTTGTTGTTTCTATATCTCTGAGATGTGCTCTTTCAGAATCTGAATGATGCCACTCTGTCATCCTTGGGCAATTCCCAAAATATGCAAATTAGGGCAGCCATTACTGAAAATCCAATTTTCGTCAATATCTCAGTAACTACTCATGGAATCAGAATAATTTTGGTGTCTATCCCATGTTTTGAGGGATAACGAATGAAATTAAGCCATTTCAGTACAGATCAAACCAGTATTTTGTACTGAATATGCAAATTAGGGCCGCGCAATATGCAAATTAGGGCAGCCATTACTGAAAATCCAATTTTCGTCAATATCTCAGTAACTACTCATGGAATCAGAATAATTTTGGTGTCTATCCCCATGTTTTAACGAATGAAATTAAGCCATTTCAGTACAGATCAAACCAGTTTTTTGTCCTGAATATGCAAATTAAAGCCGCACAATTGAGGCGGTCATACTAAAAGTGTGCTTTTCGCCAATATCGCAGTAACACAGCTTTTAGTCTCTAAACAATCCGACTAAACTATTCCAGTATTAATCACACCAATATTTTCTGCAAAATATGCATTATTGATAATATCAGTAAAGGGGGCACCTGGCTGCCAGCAAGGCTCACATATCGGGAGGGGTCTAATTCCGACCCATGTTCTATGCAAACGCACATGCCTTGGTATTATTAAGTTTTATTAAGTTTATCTGACCCAAAACCTGTTCAATATTGGAAGACAATTCTAAGTTCACTAGTCTAGATGGCAGAAGTCTTGTAGCATGAAACACCGCTTGCGTATCATTGTAGACACCGGCTGTTGGTTACATGTAGCTCTGGCTCTTATATCTGTGTTGGGTATGGAGTCCTGCCGTCTGATACTTAAGATCTTCCTCACTAATTTGCTATCAGAAGCATCCAGTGATTCCAGTCTCTTTTCTTGGCTTATTTCCACATTGTAGGTTTCAAAGCCAAGCTGGTTGAAGGCTGCTGAGGCCTTTCCAACAGTCTAGCTCATTGTCCTTAGTTGGTGGAGGTGAGGTGAAGTTCTCCGCCACTTTCAATTTGTTCTTGTCAATGGTCACACTTCTAAGAGGAGCATGTGTCCCTATCAGCATGTTAATTGCTTTTGGCCCTGATGCTAGCGCTGAGCCCAATGCTGCCTGCAGACGGACTATGTTGGTCACTAGGGGTTGGAGATCTCGGGTGTTTTCCGCTATGTCGCAGTGTCGTCTGCAAAGTCAAGGTCGGCAAACTTTGTCTCTGGAACCCCCTTTTCTCCTGTTGCTTCCCAAGTACCCAATCGATAGCCACGGGAAAGAGCATCTGTGACAGGACACAACCTTGGAGGACCCATCTTCAAACCATCCGCTGAGCTGTATCCTTCACCCGTCTATACACAACACTTTGAGTTTCGGTATATCTGTTTAACTGCATAGATAAGTTTACTTGGCAGTCCATAACTGTAGTCATGATATTCCATAAAGAGGGACTTTGGATGCTATCAAACGCCTTGCAGAAGTTAATGAAGCTGGAAAGGAGGCTAGGCCTGGTTGCAAAGCTGGCCATGTGGACATCCATCTCACAACACAGTCACCCTCGGCTTTCAGCATCTCTGAAGTGATGCCATTCATGCCTGGTGACTTGTTATCATGAAGGGTCCTGACTTCAGCTTCGGAGATGTCCTCGATCTCAAGAGGTAATGAGTGTAGGTGTTCATCAAAGACTAATGCTACTGAGGTAGGGCTTGAGCGGTTTAAGACTTCTTTAAAAGTATTTTGCCCACCTGGCAAGCTTGTCCTCCTCCTAAGACAGTGGTAGGGTCCCATCCTTCGCCTTAATTAGGACTGTGCACTTTTGAGCGGCCGCCGGTTATCTTTTTGGAAATCTGTTAAGCTTTGGTCCCAATTGGAAAAAAGGTCCCTGGTGGGTAGTTCCCTGGCTGTTTTTGACACTTTCATGCGTGACCCCTACGTGGCCTCCGTGGGACACCCCGCGGCTAAAGAAGACTCAAGAAGAATTCAACTCTGACTTAAATTCTACACGGGCCCCGCTGACAATTCAGGAAATTTAGCGCTTTATTCTGCCTGTACGCTGGTAAGGCACAGGCGTGGGCTTATGAAGGGTCTAATATTTTTTTGAACAGATTGTATCATTTTTTAACATTCCTATCTGTTCAGAGGCACACTGGCACCCATGCTATATACTGGTTACTTTTTGCATAATTTGCATTAAATGTTGGTGTGATCAATACTGGGATTGTTTAGCCTTCAAAACATGTGTATAGTAAGTGTATTGTATCAATATTATTTTGATATCATGAGATTTATTGAGATATTGACGTAAACCAGATTTTCAGTAATGGCGGCCTAAATTTGCAAATTAAGCATGACATATCTACTTGATCTCCACTGAAATGGCCTAACCTCAATCGTTATCCCAAAAAACATGGGGACAGACACCAAAGATATTATAATATTGATGAAAATCGGATTTTCAGTAATGGCCGCCCTAATTTGCATATTGCGCTGCCAAAATTTGCATATTTAGCTAAAAATATTGGTTCTATCTTTACTGAAATGGCTTAATTTCATTCATTATCCCTCAAAACATGGGGATAGACACCAAAATTATTCTGATACCATAAGTTACTGAGATATTGACGAAAATTGGATTTTCAGTAATGGCCGTCTTGATTTGCATATTGCGCGGCCCTAATTTGCATATTCAGCACAAAATACTGGTTTGATCTTTCTGAAATGGCTTAATTTCATTCGTTATCCCTCAAAACATGGGGATAGACACCAAAATTATTCTGATTCCATGAGTAGTTACTGAGATATTGACGAAAACTGGATTTTCAGTAATGGCCACCTTAATTTGCATATTGTGCGAATTGCCCAAGGATGACAGAGTGGCATCATTCAGATTCTGAAAGAGCACACCTCAGAGATATAAAAACAACAAAAAAACTTTGTATGGACCGCATTGCACGCTTATCGGTCTCTGCCACCAGACTAAAGGGTTAAGTTTAAATATGAGGTTGGATAAAAAACATTTTCTTTTTTTTCCTTCCCAGCCTTGGAGGAGCTTCTGCCAGGGATCCAGGAGTATCTTTGTCATCAGCTGTCAGGGGAGAAGTTGTCCAGACCGGCGGCCAATCAGAGACTGGAGTTCATCAAGTTACTGGACAAGTACAAAGCAGGTCAGAGGTGAAAGGTCACTTGCTGACCTTTCTGTGAAGTTGGTTTCCACTTCAATTTGAATGTCCACTCTTAGAGATTTTGAATATCAAATTTAGTACCCATTGCTTCCAAAAGAATGTTTTTAATCATTATAACCTAGCCAAAGTATAAAAAAGAATGTAGTTCAGATTGAAAGAATTATCAACCAAATTATTAGGACTTTAATTTTAAAGTTTAAATGTTCATCAAACCATTGGATATTCAGCTTCACCAAAAAAAGTTTGGATTTTAGTTGTTAAAAACACTGTCATCCCCTCTTTGCTATCTATCTTGTCATAGGATGATCGTAATCAATTGTGAAGATCATACTCATCCATGCATCAATGTCAGTGGCTTTGTGTTTGACTTGATGTTGACTATCTGCTTCCTTCAGCTGCAGAAACTGTTGTGGAGACTTGAGACTTTCTGATGACAATCGTTGTTTTTGTTCCATCCACAGATATCAAAAGGGTCCCGTCAATAGAAGTGAGTAGAGTTGGTTTTCTTCTTTATTTACAATGTTGGGGTAGCAAAAGTTAGTTTGTATAATAATACAATAAGAATGACCCTTTATCGAAATATTGTACAGATTCTTGGAGAAGAAGAAAAGAAGTTGTAAGAAATGTTTTATTCAAGTACTGGAAATTCATTCCAGTTTGCAATGCCCATTTACTGCAACATGAAAAAAAGTAGTTTGCAATATTATTGAGTTCATGATTGAAACATACATGTAGAAGTAGCACAATTAGAATGGAAATACTGACAGTATCTTTTCCTCAAGGTCATCAGGTTGTGTTGGAGAAATGTCTTCAAAAACTTTAAACCTAAAAATAGTACAAATATTTCAAAATGTACCATTATCTAATATATGAAATAAGGTCACATTCGACAAGCATTATTAAATCAGTCTGATCAAAATGAGGAAGAAAAAGGCTTGTAAAAAAAGGGGGTGGAATGGGAAAAAGTCCAAGTTTCCAACCATTAACTGACTGACTTCCTCGTACTTTGTACTTGTACTTGACTTTGACCCTGAAAAGTCATGTTGGCTTTCATGAGTTGGCAGACAAATGTTGGCAAAAACCTGAAGCTGTGTAAGGAAAAAATCAGTCAGCCAAATCTGCTGTCTGATTTCTTGTCTTTGTATTAATGGCAGAGACTTGAAAGCTGGCCAGATAACTGCTTCATCAACAATTTAATAACAGATACACTTGACTTGTATGCAAAACTTTAAATCCATTATTCTCCGCCATTAAAAAAACAAGTTCTCTACCAGACTAACTATTCTTGCTATACCAAATGTATATAGAAGACGTATTTGCCAGGGGAGTTTGGCCGCCTTGGGGTTTGACTGGCCGCACAGAGGGAAAGAAACAACCTACTGCGGCCAGACTCCCCTGGTCAATTTTATTCTCCTTTTTGCCGAATTTCACAATCCATATCCCCATAGAAAGGCCTGGTGGAGGCTAAAAAAACAACTGTTACAACACTCAGCCAAATGTGTTACTAGTACCTGATACCTCTTTGTATCAAAAGTAGCTTGTCTGGCTGTTCAGTGGAACTTACGCACTAGTGCTTCATCAACAAAATACTTGTTCCAACTTACAGGTGCTTGTATTGGAGGGAACACTGGCCTGTGTTTACCATACATGTAGTTGGGATTGAAGCTTCCTCAAATTTCTTTGTAGGATCTGAGTCATGCAGAGTTCTTTGTTGACTTTAGCCTACAGCTTTTGTTCTGTTGTATGTGAGGACTGTACCGTGCTCTGACAGAAGTGTTTCACTTTCACTTTGAATATTTTGTCACATTTTATGAAACATTATTAGGCCGCAGCAATTTAATTTCTTGGTTAACGGATTCGCCCGCTTCATTTTTTTTTTTATTTGCAAATAAAAATGAAAATTGTCAACTGCAAAATGCTCATATTTTGCCCTGAACAGTTGAAAACAGTCCTTTTCATCCTAGTTGTTAAAGTTATTCCATCTTTCAATGCAATGGTATCATTAAAAGTTCAAAATTCATTGTTTAAATTTTGAACCAGCCTGGTGTGTTGACTTCATGGCTCCTATTGTACCATTTTGGGCCATAATTAATAGGATGCCTAGGCCTGTTTTAATTTATTTTATTTTCGCCCACTGGCTCCATTATTTTTCTAGAAAAATCCGTTAACCAAGAAATTAAATTGGTGTGGCCTTAAACTGCAGGGCACGAAATACCACCTGCATAATGATATGAATTACCAAGTATTACTATATATAGTACATGACTGTATAACTATAAACTAGAAATAATTACAATGGTTTATGAATGGTTTTTAGTGTGATCCATACTAAAATAATGTCCTAAATGCCTACAGCCTAAACTTTTTTTCTGGTGCAGGTGATTTCAGGTACTAGTAATATGCAGAAAATTTCAAGCCCTGAATTGAATTGATCTTAATTCTATATCAATAATCTCTTAAACAACTATATTTTCTACTTCTTACTTTGTCTTGTTCTCTTGTTCTCCATGATTTTTTTAGATAATCTAATAGTTTGTTTAATCAACTTTCAATCTTTCTTCCACTCAACTGTACCCAGGCAGATGAAGATGAAATGTATGAAGACACTCTTGTTCCAGAGAAACCCCAAAGTAGTTTCCTACACAATGGAAATGGATCGTCCTTAGTGGAGGATGTAAGATTTTGTGGAGTTTTGCACTTCTCAAAACTAACATTCAAGCATGGCTGCTAACATTGTGATATTTTCTCAATGCTGCTGCATACATGCCAGCTGCTATCTGTAACAGTTGTATATAGTTCCTTACAGTTCTATTTCAGGTGATATATAAATTACACATTGACAACTGTCATTCTAACAGTCTTCTTTTGCTGCTAATGTTTTAGCCTGGTGTCAAAATTTTTGGAGGAATTTTGTCCAGTAACCCCACCCTTGTAGAATTATAACTCTCACAGTTCAAAATTGAAGCTCAAACTAAAGCCACACCAATTTAATTTCTTGGTTAACAGATTTTTGTAGAAAAAAATGGAGCGTGCGAGCGAGAAAAAAAAAAGAAAATAAAAACAGGCCTAGGCATCCTGTTATGGCCCAAAATGGTACGAGCCATGAAGTCAACATACCAGGCTGGTTCAAAATGAATTTTGAACTTTTAATGATACCACTGCATTGAAAGATGGAATAACTATTATTATAATAACAACTAGGATGAAAAGGACTGTTTTCAACTGTTCAGGGCAAAATATGAATTTTGCAGTTATTTATTTTTTTTTGGACAAATCAGAAAAAAAATGAAGTGGGCGAATCCGTTAACCAAGAAATTAAATTGATGTGGCCTAATCTTGCTAATATAAGAGTTGATAACAGGTTTCTAAGGGAAGACATATTGTGTCCTAGTATCAATTCTTATATTGTAACACAATGAAACCTATTATACTAACAGTTACAGTTCCTAACATAACAGGTTCCATAACTTTTTTGTACTTTTATAACCAGGTAAATGGGGATGAATATTATGAAGACACCCTCCCATCATCTTCCAATGGTTCAGCCCGACCAGACAGTTTTATTGAGAGGCAGAAGATTCCACTTCCTCCCATTCCCGGACAGGGGGGTGAGCAGGGTGAGTAAGAACATGTGCAAGAGAAGCAAAATTTTGTATTTTTTTTTTGGTTCAGCAAAATTCAGGAAGAACTGGAGGAACTTGTAATAACAACAGGAACTAAACAATGGAGGAAGTTTTGTATGTCTGTGAAAAGGGAAGTGTTATGCAGATGTAAAAGCTATTAATAACATCTGTGTCCATAATATCACCAGGGTCCATAATATCGCCACCTTGAGAAAAAGTGTGCAATAAAAACAATATTTTTACTGCAACATACCCTAGATATGTACATTTGATGTGTGAAGGAGTGCATACCAAAAGTATGTTGCAGTAAAAATATCTTTAAGCACACTTTTTCTCAAGGTGGCGATATTATGGACCCTGGTGATATTATGGACACAGATGTTACATTGTAGTTTCATTTGACACACTCTATATTCCTTTTTTTAAATAAATGCTACACCAGCAAAGAGTTTGACTTCTCCCCCTGGCCAGTAACTCTTGAAAATTATAGAACTTGAATCCATGGTTTTAAATTTATAGCCTTTTATTATAAAAGACTCTGTTTTTTTTTATTTTTTATCTTAGATATGCAAAACTGATAGACAGATATTGTTATATACCATATCATACATAGTATACATATATCCATTGATTATTCTGCTGCCGGCTTCCCTGTCTCGGGTGGGCAGCAGTAGGCTAGACTGGAGGCCATGTCTGGACCATGTGACCCTGTCCAGTGGGTCAATGTTGGACAGTCCACACATTCTAATGTAATTTTGGATGCAAATTAGGAAATGTCCAGTTTATTTGCTGCCCGTGCATGTATTGTTCTGTAGCAGTCAGATCCATAAGAAAACTACCTGCCTCCTTGCTGAGACACACCCATAGATCTTTTGTTAAGGGACATTCCTTCCCACAAGCAACTTCCTGTGTTCATTCAAATACCTGGAACCTTTTCTTCATGTTTATTTAAAGCCTGAAGTGTAATCTCAGGGATCAGTTCTGAGGATTTAACTCATCATTCATCGCTTCAGGCAAAATGTGCCTGTAACCGGTTTTGTGCAGTCAACCAAGAAGAGCCTGGTCATAATCCCAGGCCTTGAAATACTGGGGGCAGTCCATAAGGCCACACCAATTTAATTTGTTGCTTCTCGGATTCCCCGTCCACTTTTTTCTGATTTGCAAAATTTTTTTTTTTTTTAGGTTCTAAATCAACTGCAAAATGCTCAATGATAGACATAATTTGGCCCCATGTTGCACAAAGTCCCTTTCTTCCTAGTTGTTAAAGTTTTTCAATGTAACAATGCAGCCTTGTTTCATTGAAAGTTCAAAATCTTAGATTGGTTTGATTATAAACCAGCCTGCTATGTTGACTTCATGGCTCAAATCATAACATTTCCGGCTATCATGGGGTGCCTTGGCCTGTTTTTATTTTTTTTATTTTTTTGCTGTGGCTGCATATTTTTTCTGAAAAAATCCGAGAAACAACATATTAAATTGGTGTGGCCTAATGTTCTAACATAGGGTTACTGTTGTCAGAATTTAGGCGGAATAAATAAGGGTGTAAATACCACCTGCATATATTGTATGCAGATTGGTGCAGGTAAAATCAGAGCTGTGCTGGTATGTCTGATGTCTACCTGCACCTAGTATTTACCTTTGGGTCTATGGAAATACATGTAACTGAAACTCGAACTTGCAATATTCCAGAATAAATTTGTACCTAAATTTGTAAATTTACTTGATGCAAGCAAGGATTTATGATCTCCTTGGTCTTGGGACAAAAATTTAAACATTAATCATTGAATACCTGCACCAATTGCCTCAAGCGAGACAGGTTATAGAAAAAAGTTCATGCTTTGTTTTTTGTAACTTAAGCATATATTATTCAGTGGAAGTAATTGGGCCACACACACTATCACATTCTCAGGCTTGCACTATTTTTAGACTTAATTGTTCACCTGTATGCTGAATGCATGCCACCTAGCAGGAGCAGATGGAACTGCATGGTAACTTTTAAAAAGTACCAAAAAAAAAACAGTTACTCAAGCAACAGTTACTGATTTTGGAAATGGTCATACGTTTTAGTGTCACTGGTTCAAAATTTAAACAATAAATTGTTAACTTTTAATGATACCACTGCATTTGAAAGATGGAATAAACAGTTACTGTAACAACTAGGAAGAAAAGGACTGTTTTCAACTGTTCAGGGCAAAATATGAGCATTTTGCAGTGGATTCTGAATTTTTATTTTTTATTTTTTGCAAATCAGAATAAAATGAAGCGGGTGAATCCATTAACCAAGAAATTAAATTGGTGTGGCCTACATGCAGTAATGTTAATTTGGGTCTAATGTGTCCTTTTCCTGTATCCCCATCAGATGAGGAGGAGTATGAGTGCCCGGTGTCCCCGGACGGTCCCCCCCTCCCCCCACGGTTCCCCCCACCCCTGCTCCCACCGTGGCCCTCCCCCCGCGGCCACTCCGCCCCCCTCCCCACCCCTCAGCTAGAGCAGGAGGATTATGAGGACATGTACGAGGAGCCTGTCAGTCATCAGGCTAATGAAGGTGGGTATTTTATGGACTTTTCTCTCAGCTACAAAATGTATGATGTTATATAACTTATAATCAAGAATTTTGCAATCGTCTTAATTTTTAAAAACATGAATGTGCCCTTGGCTTACTAATATCAGTACTTTTTTGTTGAATATGAGATTGAATTGTTCACAATGTATGTTGAACTACAAATATATTCTTTTAAGCTAATACTGTCATTTTCAAATTCTTTCAACAATAAACTTTTCCCCTGTTTAGAGTTTTAGTTCCATTTAAGGCCACACCAATTTATTTTCTTGGTTAACGGATTTTTCTAGAAAAATAATGGAGCGGGCGAAAAGGACTGTTTTCAACTGTTCAGGGCAAAATATGAGCATTTTGCAGTTGATTCTAAATTTTTATTTTTATTTGCAAATCAGAAAAAAATGAAGCGGCGAATCCGTTAACCAAGAAATTAAATTGGTGTGGCCTAAGTGATATTTACATCTTCCCTCCTATCTGTCCATTCTACTTTGAATTCCCACAATGCCTTGCAACAGCCACAAGTTCAGAGGTCACCTTGCCAACTGTTGATGATGATGATGATGAGATGTATGAAGAACTCCCCGTTACTCCCCGTGAGTTTTCTGACTTCCACACTGTAACATGTGGTAATGTTTAAGCAGCTTACTTAACATAAAGAGTAACACGCATGCGTAGCGTCAGACGAGTAACAAGAGCCACTATCCAGACAGAGAGTCTGAGTGGGTGACTAGAGAATAAACCAAGCCGATTCAAGTATTCCAGCTTGGAGTCACGTTATTGGATTACTACCAAGAGGTAGGGGCACGACAACAGAGTCTTAGAGAAAAGACAAAAGTCGTCGCACACACTCTCAACTTTCTCATCCTGCTTCTAAAAACGTCTTTGGAATTTTGTTCTTTTTCTAAAATATACTCAGGTAGCGAAACACTTTCCAGAAATCATATTCACCAATTTCACACTTCCCATAATGCCACTTATCACACTTCCTTTAAAGATCACGGATATGACGTATGACCAACCCGCTTCCCCCATGTAGTATTTCCAAAAAGTTCTATCGACAAACTGGTCAACTGTTACAGTTACTAGTATATTCTTTTGAATTATTTTTCTAGTATAAAGCGCATGCCATAATTGGATTTTTGTTGGAATTAGAGAAAATGACGTACCTTCTATCGCTCTACCTTCTACCGAAGACTCTCCTACTCGCACGGTCGCCTTACGTATATCATATGATAATCCCCTTCTTACGTCATATCCCATCCATATCCGTGATCTTTACTAGGCATTATGGGAAGTGAGAAATTGGTGAATAGACTTTGGGAAATATGTAAATAATCTTTAATTTCCTTTTTAGAGACAGAACAGGCGCCTGAAGAAATAAGTGAGGACACCTATGACGTCCCTGACGTTGCCCCTCCTGCATTGGGGAGAATGTCTGTTATGTCAACTCCAGGTAGACTGGGCATTGGCGTTTTGCAGTGCTTCATACTCAGGGTTCTAGCTAGCGCAAAGTAGCGTAGGGTCCCCCTACGCTATTAATAATGATAATTTTGACTCCCTACACTAAATTTTCACCCCCTATGCTACAATTTTCAATTTCTGTAATTTCTAAATTACAAATTTCTGTAATTTTCAATACAGCATAGGGGCATTTTGACTGCATTTCTTTGTTCAAGAATGCCAGATCAAAATGTGAAAAATTAGCAATCAAGGATACATTGTACATACCTTAGAAATAACATTTTTCCCCCTTTGGGTATCCTTCAAATGGCCTCATTTTTTGGCTCAAATTTTTAAAAGCTCCGCACCGCGAAGAGGAGCACATCCCCCCTTCTGCCCCATCCCGCGGCCCCTCTTGGTTGCTTTGCGGCCAGTGCCACTACGCTAAAATTAAATCCTAGCTAGAACCCTAATACTGCTTGGGCTTTCCAATGCGCAACTGCCAACATTGAGTCCAGCACAATCCATTTCAGCGCCAGCGCCAATTTTTTCCTTGCTTGAGCAAACTGTATAAATATTCCAGATGTGCTTTCAAGAGCTAATGACCTAATATGCTACTTATATTTACAGAGAGATTTACACTAACACTGCTGCTGCTGCTGCTGCTGATTCCTGCAGACAAAATGCAGTGTTTAATTAGGATATTGAACTCCATTCGGAGTATTCTTTTACCCAACTCTCTCAACTGCTACACACAAGTTTCGATGCCTACGTACCATACATACATCTTTCACAGAGCTTCTGACTGCAGCATGCAAAATACCTGGTTGCCTAGTTGCCCCGGGCCACCAAATTTTATGGGGCAACCTATTTTTGAACCTAGATAGCTCAGTGTGCTACCTGAATTTTAAGAATGCCCCGCCCCCAAAATCATGCCCACTTGGCTTGCACCACTGTATCCGGCAGATGCTTTTTAATTTTAATGGCTATTACTAGTATTAATGGCTATTAATACTAGTAAAGTTTCTAAATTACTAGTATCAGTTAACTAAAGGCTGTTAGAAATATTGTCAAAGGCTTAATGTATGTAAAATTAAACTTAATTTGAGAAAAGTAGTAACTTTCTTGGTGGGGCAACCTAAAATTCTGATGGGCAACCTAATTTTTGCTGTAGGCACTGGGCAACCTGGTTCAAAAAAGTGTTTTGACATGTGTACACTAGACCGGAATACTCCAACATCCAGTATGATTTACATTTTGTACCAACCTGATGAAATTATTTTCGGAAATGCTTTAAGTAGTTAATCTTCTCTCTGCCACGGATGTAATAATAACTATATGTATTAGTTGAGGCAGAAGATAGTAGAGAAAATGTTAACTTAATTAAACACATTTGACATTTAGGGGCCGTTCATCAGATTGATTTTCAATTTTTTTTGTATTGCAGGTGGAGACTCTGGTGATGAAAGTGGGTCATATGAAGATTATGATGATGATGAAGAAGAAGAGTGAGTTATAATCATTTTTAATTATTATTTCTTCCATTGTGGTAATTTGATTTACTAGCATTAAATTTTGATCATTCATTTGATAAACTTAAAGCAAAATATTCAAATGATTATTTTTTGAAATTTTTCTAGAAAGAAGAAATTTATTTGGACATTCTTTGACAAATTTATCATCATTGCAAAATTTGCAAGCCAAGTCAATAGGTTTCTTTCTTGTTTAAAGTTAAAACTTTTGGTCCAACACAAAAAGTTCTCTCACCTAGAGCTTTTGGCCAGTCTCTCTGGTCTTCCTCAGTAGACTGACCCAGTGAAACTTCTCACGTGGCTTCTTTGAAGTATGACGTCAACACAGCTTTCTTTCTTATAAAGGTCTAAAAAAAAATTTAAATATAATTACAAACCTACTGTATAACTGTTACATAGAATTGTCATACCACAATTATCACAAGTTTGGGTGAAGATATAGGGACACTTACAAGTGTATTTTGTGCCTAGGTAATTTTTTGGAGGAATGGATATTTGTTAACTTGCCGGCCGCGGTATCATGAATTTGTTACCAGGCTTAGGTGTAGAAAATAGTTTCAGGAAAATGTGAATTGAGGGGTCGTGTGGTGCAATGGCAGCGTGCTCGACTCGGAACCGGTGGGAAAGGCATTTTACACGACTTTCATTGTAACTCAAGTAAAAATTAGTAAAACTATTGTATGTCCTGCATTTGTTTCTATGTGTGGGACACAACACCAGCAATTAGCTGCCTTTGTCCCACGTGTATTGCACTGTTGCAATTTCAATAAATCAAAATCAAATCAAATCATTGCAGTGCTAAGAAGACTAAAAAGGTGAAGAAGAAGGTGAAAGAACCTGAAGTGTTTGAGTTACCGGACGCTCAGATCAGCGGAGTTCTGCAGAACAAGAGGCTGATCGGGGGATGGGTGAAAAGGTTCTGTGCCGTGAAGGACTCCAGGTTCCTGGTGAGTTAAGGTTCAGGATGTTGTGATTATTTATGTCAAGGAAGAACAGGATTATTTTTCCCTCCTGTGTGTGTGTCGGTGTGTGTCTGTGTTTGTGTGGATGGTGTTCAGTACCAAGGACAGATCTGTTTGCCTGTAATCGACCACACTAACAATGCTGGGTGAAAAATGACTAATTTGCCAGTTTGGCCACCACAATACCCCTAATCCTACCCAATCTTTCAACCAGTGTCTATAGCTTTGTGTGTGTAGTGTGTGTCCTAAAAAGGACACAACATCTAGCCAGGAATCTAACCTGTGATCTCTTGATTCTATGTCTATACTAGCCTAACCAATCATTCAATGCCAAAACGTGTGCCTCAATTACTGAATTGTGTTCATTTACTGTGTTCATTTATTAGGATCCTAGATCCTACGATAGATCGCCAACTTGTCTTGTTTGTATTTTTCTTGGTTTTATCCACCTTGTAAATTATGCATGTATCTTGTCAATGTGTTTTATGTCTCGTTGTATGTTTTTGAGTAAAAGGGGTTATATATATTAAGCAACTTTTGTATTATATGTATTATATTGTATGTACAATAAATTGTGTTTATTTTCCCCTTACACCAGGCATACAAACGTGCGACCGACGAGAAGCCATATGTAGACATGTACCTGCCTGGCAGTTCTGTGGTGTACTCAGAGAAGGACGGGAAGAAACAGCACGTGGTGAAGCTGGTGGGAGGGGGGGACACTCATGTCCTGTCTGTAGGGAACAGAGAAGAGGCTGACAAGTGGATGAAGGTACCTTTGTCACGAAGGAAGTTTTTTTTTTACTTTAGGCCACACCAGTTTAAGTTCTTGGTTAACAGATTCTCCCACTTCATTTTTTTCTGATTTGAAAAATAAAAATTCAGAATCAAGTGCTCATATTTTGCCCTGAACAGTTGAAAACAGTCCTTTTCTCCCTAGATGTTAATACAGTTATTCCATCTTTCAATGCAATGGTATCATTAAAAGTTCAAAATTCATTCATAAATTTTGAACCAGCATGGTACATTGTATGTTGACTTAATGGCTCCTATCATGGTTCCATTTTGGGCCATAATAGGATGCCTAGGCCTGTTTTTATTTATTTTTTTCACCCGCCCGCTCCATTATTTTTCTTCAAAACTCTGTTAACCAAGAAATCAAATTGGTGTGGCCTTAGTGGTCGCCATGTAACACGGCCGATTGAGACCAGCCCAATTTCTCACAAATTGACCCAATAGGAGAAGCAGGGGTTATGAGGCTGGTCGGGAAAATTCCCTGCCCCAGTTCAATGAAAAGGTGATTTCAGTTGAATCGGAAAGTTTTTTTTATTGACAACCACTTGGATAATAAGAGGCAATGACTGTCTGTAGTTCTGTGCTCAAACAAATTTTTGACAGAATCACTTGATCTTCTTTTGTCTCTTTGATCCAGCCTCCTTTACTCCTCTCACAAAGTTGTTCTGTGTCCAAAATGACAAAAAAAGCTGGTACAGATTACTTACTTTCTCCCACACCTGTAGTTGTAGGAAAGATGTTAAGCTGTTTGGACATTTGAACAGCCATGTAAGTGTCCATTCCACATCTGAACACCAACATTTAGCTCTAAGAATCCTAGAAGAAGTACATGTACGAAGAATAAACTTTTAAGTCAGTTTTTTTTAGTTCAAGATAAAGTAGTATGCAAAGTGACGTCTTTTTTGTGTTTCTGCCTATCTTATCTCCTTTCGCCTCCTGGGAGGAACTTAACCAACACCCCCTCCCTTCTTACCTAGCTGCTGGAAGAAGAGACCCAGTCAGGTTCAGGAGGCATGCTGGCCCCGGGGCGTGCCAAGGTCGGCAGGACCCCCAGCAATGTCAGCGACCTCAGCAGGGGGTCAAACTCCAGCAGGGATGAGGTAGGCAGCGGGTCCTGATTGGTCAGTACTTAGGCTATTGATAAATCATACTAGTCATGTCTAGCCTAGTGCTAAGTACCTAAACCCACATTTAGGTTCAGGTCCGAATTCAAGTCCAGAGGTTTAGGTTCAGTTCCAGACTCGTAAGTCCGGACCTAAACCCATGGCATATACAAAATTGCATGTTCATTGGCAACCTTGCAATGTTGTTTGGGCAAAACTTTGGCCACATAACATGGAGGCCGACACTTGGCGATGTCCGATGGCAATGTTTTCTTAATTTTGCAGCACAGATTTTGCAATTTATGGAAGGTTGATTGATTTATTGATTGATTGAAAGAAAAGGGGTACATGTATGTGACATGGGTTTTTTCTGTTTACAAGTCCGGAACCGGTCCAGCGAAACCAGTACTAGTCTAGCCTATACTTAGTCTAACTAATCTTACAGTGTCTTTAAGAGAGCAAGACTAATGAGTATGTTCTCTGACACAGACTTCATCACTGAAGATCATAATGTATGTATTCCGAATAACTACAATCTTCACATTAATGTATAATGTACAATCATGCAGTTTTGTTTATAAGAGGAAGGCATATGTAGCATTTTTCAGCGTAAAGGACTGGTTGCCATCCTCTGTTCTTTAATGCTGGCATCCTAGCTTGTCCCTACAAGAAGGGAGCTGGCAGTAAACTACAATGTACAGAAGATAGCAACCAGGTTACAGTAAACTTTATAAAGTCCTTTCCTTTTGGATGTTGTTTGTAAGTCTTACCAAATGGTTATCAAAAATATGTTTCATGTTATATAATTAACATGTTTGTTGACTTTCCTCTTCACTAGGATGTGCAAGATGGCAATGATTCAGGGAAGAGCGGCACTTTGGAGAGGCAAGAGGATAAAAGGAAGAGTTTCGGGAAAGGTACAAACAGACATGATCATTAAGTAATAACATAGTAAGGCCACAATGGATGACATCCATGCGCGCATTGATTTTCGGCTGGTCTCAAAAAAAAAAAAAAGATCACGCCCCCCCGAGGCTCTGGCCTGGCTCTAGGCCTGGGTAGTCCATGATAGTTAGCAACAATACGGAGCCAGCTCAGTTGGTGTAAGGCGTCCCACGGTTGACCACAGCAAAGATCTCATTTAATATTATAATGACCTACTTGAATATTGAAATGAGCCAAATGCAGTCTTGAAGCTTGTACATATGCAACAGTTTGAGTGATAACCCACTGCCTCTGCCCCGCCTGCCGTTTTGCATTTGATTTGCGCGCTAATCCCATCCTGTGGAGTTAATTGGTACCCCTCTTTTGTTTTCAATTGGCTGATCAAGAGCAGAACGGATGTCAGGCTTGCATAAATACTAGTAACACAGACAAAACAACTGTAAACAATGATCAGCAAGTTCTATTTGAAGCTCTTGCTGTAAGTTACAACACATTTATTCTGATCTGAATCTGGCCCCCAAACAACCTGAAGATATATGTAAAGTTACCTCCAGCATGACCCACAAAGGGCCCCTTTAGGAAGGGCCACGGATATTAGAACCCATAAAAAAATGGGGATAACTGACAAGGAGAGTGGGCCACAGTGATTCCCTGTAACACTAACACTACACTACTAACAGATAAACATGGCCTCCTGAGCTCACCCAACCATCATGATGGTAATATAACCTCCTTGGTTAAGAGTCGTGAGCAAGGTCGGCTATAGTGTTCGGCTGTGCCAGTTTAGTATCTAAAACATTAGGGTGTGGACAGTACGTTATTAGAAATTGTTTGGAACATCTTGGAAAAGGTTAATAGCCCCCACTATTTCCGGTAAAGCTAATCTCTGCAAATTCACCCAGTATTGACCCGTTCAGACTATATGCCAGACAGTTCCCAGCCTCAATACACATGCTAGGCCCTGTTATTAGACTCGGTTAGACAAAGGAGATATGATATACCAAGAGACCATGGAGTTTGGTTAGACCAAGGAGGTTATATTTAACCTCCTTGGTTAGACCCTGTGAAAAAACTTTCGGAAGGGAAATGCTGTCCCCTGGATTGAGAAGGTAGCCTACATAGCAGCCCTGGTAACAGTCTGGCACCCAGGCTATGAGCCGTATAAACCTTTCATTCAATTGTTGCCAATTTGTTACTGTCTGTAAAACATTTTCTTTCAAGACCTATATTGAAAAAAAAGGAAAGCTGGGCCGAGCTGTAGTGAACAATTACTGCGTATAACAAAAGACAGCCAACCTTTTGTCTTGTGGCGGGGGCAAATTACAGATAATTACGTCTCATAGAGGTGCTAAATACAGGACTAATTGGCCTACCGACGTGATTGACAGCTAGAATTTGCTAAGAGGGTAAAGATTTATAATCTTAACTTTGAAGCATTTTGAGGAACTATAGCCATGCCCAGGGAACGTCAGATTCAAAGTAGAATGATTGGTATTGTCCTGAACTACCCAAACCTGTTTAGATCCTTTTGCTTATCATTAACTGTCTTTTGATATAGGGCAAGGAAGTTAGGGTTACCCTAAAATTGTGGCATTGAAATGGGCAAAAACATATTTCATAAAAAGCAGGAATAATATTTCAAATATATCAAAACAGTTTCTAAATGGTGACAGATGTAAGAATGTACCCTCCAAAAAGCGTCTGTCTATGATGTTGGCTATAGTTCCTCGATTTACGTTTTCTGTTTAAGAATTATGCATCATATCAGACATAGAAATATGCAAATATAAGAAATATAACAACATGAAAGTAATATTTCAACACTCAACAAGTTGTATTTTGCCTTTCCCCCAAGTTTGAACCATTTCTGACCAGCTACGGCTGAGTTATGGCATTTTTCCGAAAGGACCTGAAAAATCAGTAAATTGGCACCGTGGGACGCCTTACACCAACTGAGAGTGGTAACTCTGGAGGATGGCACCCAGGCTACCAAAGCTCCACGACTCAAGAACTCAGTACATACGTACAGTGTCGATTCATAAATTCTGCAAAAAGCCGGCCTGTCATAATACGTCGCTATGTACTGCCGCAAATTCAAAATATCAGCTTTGTATTCCTGTGGTTTAGTAGCATTTTTATTTTTGGTCGGAATTTTTTTATTCGCCCGCACGCACTAGTTTAGGGGTCTTCAAAGGATGTCATCCATAGAATTAAGTCGGTGTGGCCTTATTACATGTATGACTATGTTCCATTATTTCTCTGGTTCATTCATTGGCAAATGACTGAAAAAACCATAATGATTGTTTTTACAAGACAATGTAGTACACAAATAATCCAATATAAAATTACATATTAATGATATACATATTAATAATTATGTATGTGTGATTGTTCTAACTGCTTCATAACTGACTGGACTATTTTGTGTTTTGACAGACAAGAAGAAGAAGAAGAAAAACAAGGCTGGAGATTTTATTGTCAACACATTTGGGAAGTCCAAGGGGAAGAAACTGACTGCACAACTGAGTGATTCAGACATTGTTATCACTGGTAAGTTCCTGTGTCTGTGTACTAACTACTGCTTAAGGATCCTGGCACAATTATGATAGGTTTACAGTTGCAGAAAAATAAAGAGCATACTAGTACACAGTCAAGGAAAATAATTGTTACTGGATACATTTTGGAAACAGTCATATGTATCAAGTAGCATCCACTACTACATGTATTCTTCAGTAACTGAAACATCTGACAGTTTTGAAAGTCTATCCAGTTGCATGGGTAACAATTGTACATTTGCACAAGGATTTGTGATGTACAATGTGTACCAGTATTGGATGTTTAACCTTCATTGACTCAAAGAGCATATACTTGAACAGGCGTGGATTCTTAATGCAGCTGTATTCTTTTGTCACAGTGCATCATTTTTGTGGTTCCTACATGTAAGTGTCAATGCTTCAAATGTTCGAGTTCCAACATCCTGTTCTGACAACTCAACCTATGTACCAACACCCCTAACCTATTTCAGACTGGCAGAATTATGTTAGACTGAGTAGAGATTACCAATGATTTTCAGTTGATGATCTGAAATGACCTATCTCACTTCAGGTGTGTCTGAAGTTGCAGATTTCCAAGGCTGTATTATTGCAGGTGTGATGCATTCCTAGATGCATGTGCACTTTAGTGGTGTAGTATGAGGGTTGCACTGGACAAAATGGTGTTGAATGTACATGTATCTCTGTTGACATACATGTCAAAGTCTGGGTTCAAATGCTTTTTTATAAGTACCTGAACTGGTGCAAGTAACAGAGCAGTAAAACATTTATTGTTTTCGCTCTGTTCCATCTTTTTTTTTTCATTAAGGTTTGGGCAAGAATCTCTGAGCAGTAGTTTGTTAGGCTAGACCTTCTGAAGGTAAACATTATGTTTTGCGTTACAAAATTAATATTACCTTTAGTTAGTTATAACAAAAACAGCCTCCAGTTTAATTCCAGACTTCCAGTTTAATTCCTGACAACCTCCCATATATCAGCAACCTTAAACCCAGATGGGCTAATATCGCAAACCATAGGTAAACTCCTCAAAGCATTATGCATTATTATCATATAGCCGGGTGACGTTGACCAATCAGAAGGCTCCATTCCACATTCCTTATGTCGCCGTAATATCACAAATAGAGTCAAAATCGGGTATTTATTCATCGCAATCCATACATTAAACAAACCCAATAATCACCCGCATATGACCTCAGGTGACCCAATAGAACACAGCTCTAGTTCTAAAAAATCCAAAAATAACTTGAGTTGTGTTCCAATGACTCCCATAAGAACACCTGTACCCTGCCTGTGACCCAGTTAACGTGAACTCTACCCAGTGACCTCAGGTGACTCCATATGGAACTATGTTCTATTCAGCATGTGCAAGGGGTAAATAGTACATTGTGGCAGACTCACTTACTGCATCAGTTTGGATAGGCTATCGTGTAAGCTACTAAGTATATGATAATAGCGTTAATGGCCCGCCCTTTCTCAGTGAATATGGTGTGATAAAGCCTTGTCAGTTGCTATAACCACCTCATAAAGCCACCTCGTTCGCTGTGCTCACTTGGTGGCTTTATTCTGTGGTTATAGCAACTGACAAGGCTTTATCACACCATATTCACCTCGGGGCGGGTCATTAACCCTTAATTAACCCCCTGGGTTATTATAATTATGCATAATTGGATGAACCCCCAGGGGGTCGCGAATAGCTGCTACATATTTCTTACATCATTTTTATGGGTTCACCACACCACGAAGTGGTGTGGTGAAACCATATTGCTTTTTCTGATGTTTCTTCTCCTTCTCCTTCTCCTCCTCCTCCTCCTCCTGCCATATCTTTAAATGGATTCAGCTTCTTCATTTTAGGGCCTAAGGTCCTGAAATTTGGTATGGAGGTACAGTGGGCAAATACCCCTAGGCGTTTTTTAAATTATTGTGATACAGGCTTTTAGAATGGTTTTATTTGAGTTTTTTGGCTGTGTTATAGCAAATGTATTACTGTGTTAGTCTGCCTTGTTTACCACGTTTGGGCATGAGTCATGACAATGGAATGCAGGGCATCAACCTAATAGGCATGCAGCTTTCCTCTATACTTCTTGCTGATTGGCTGTTGGGATTTAACTTGATTAACACCTGCACAGAAGCATTTCCATACTGACAGTATGTCTGTATTCAAGTGTTTTGGTAGGTATTTCAAGCTTTCCTGCTCCAGCATTGGAATGCCGGGCATGGACGTTTTTTTTTTATTTTGAAAATCAACAGTTTGCATTATGCAATTAAAAATCCTAACCAATAAAGTAGGGAATAGCTATCCAACTGTTGTTTTAGTTGTATTTTACTTCATATTATAGTTATATCAATGTAAATCATTGTTTTCCCTTGTGTTTCCCATTCTTTCCCTGCCATGTCGTAAAATGTGGTGAACCCATCGCTGTATTTGCTCCAAAGCAAATATTGGCCTTTCTAGTTACTTATGGTTTGCGATATTAGCCCATCTGGGTTTAAGGTTGCTAAAAAATATGAGAGGTTGTCCGGAATTAAACTGGAAGTCCGGAATTAAACTGGAGGCTGTTCAAAGTTTTCTTTAAACCATGGTTACACTTTACTGACATGCATTGTTTTCCCTTTTACAGGGTATCTCAACATCTCCACTGCACTGTTAGGAGACACCAAGTGGACTCGACGCTGGTGCATGATCAAGAACCACTATCTAGAGGTGCATAAAAATGCCAAGGACGACTATGCTGAGTTGACGTTCCCCCTGAAAGGTTGCAGCTTGAAGCCTTACATGGACGAGACAAAAAAGGGCAAGAAGGATATGGCTATCCAGCTCAACAAACATGATGTGGAGATCATTTTAGAGGTACTGTTACAGTTAACTGTCTTAGAAATTTGAAAAGCTCTCAGGCACAAGTACTTTATTTGTTGATGCCTGCATTCGTATAAGGTCACTGGCATGTGGTGAAGAAGAGGGATAGGCTCTCATTCTACCTGATTTCATTATATTTCAGTCCATACCATGGTATGGATGAAATATATTGTGTTCCCTCATGTTTCTTCTCCTCCTTCTCCTGCCAAACAGTCAAAGGGATTCAACTCCGCCATCATTCAGCCAAATGACTTGAAATTTTGCATGGAGGTAGAGTGGGCCAACACCCCCAGGCGTTTTTTTCATTTTTTTGATACATGCCTTTGACAATTTTTTATGAAGGTTTTTTTGGGGCATTTTTCGCCAAAAAATGGATTTTTGGATCCTGAGCCCTGGTTTTACAACCGAATGATCTGAAATTCGGTATAAGGGTACCTTGAACATGTGTCTACGGAATAGCAGTCACATATTTGGCATACACCACTTCCAAATGACTCATTTGGGGGACTTTAATGGCTATTTTCAGCAAAAAAGGGCCAACAGTGCTATACCTGTTCCATGTTCTATCTAAAGAATGGCCTGTTCCATCCATGGAACACGTGTTCCATTGCGGGTTACCTGGGGTCACATTGCACGTAAGTCGTGCATAATGACCCACACATTCAATTTTATGTGCCTAAGACCTTCAAAATGTATCAAATCTCATCATTGTTAGTATTTGCATACCTGTAATAAGATTAGTAAAGCTTTCGAGATTCAATGTGCTTGTTCTTGCATCTTTGTTCTCAATTCAGGGTTGGACAAGTTTTCAAAAATCCACTTGCCCCATCGGGCAAGCACATGGTCATTCCTACTTGCCCGAACAAATTTTTCACTTGCCCAATGAAAAATATAAATGACATATTTCATACATTTTTACCGCAAGAAATTTTTTCGTTAAAAAAGCACTTTATATTGTTCTATGCTTGACCAATATTTTCCAAAGTAAGGAGGTTTGAGACTTGCAAATGGTTCCCTGACGAAAAGTCATATTATGGGAATACATTATGGGAAAATGATGAGAGATTTTGCTCCAAACACTGCCATATCCCAAAAATTTACTTGCCCAATCGGGCAAGTACAGGGGGATATTTACTTGCCCGAACAGTGCTTTTACTTGCCCTGGGCAAGTGGGCAATGGGACTTGTCCAACCCTGCAATTACATAGCTACTATATAATTCATTTATTTGAGAATCTTTGCCAGTTTTACACTGGGGTAAGTTTGGAATAGTCCACTTTTGCGTGGGAGGGAGATGGACTGAAATATGCTGTATTTGCTCCCAAGCAAATGTCGGCCTCTCTAGTTCTATTATGTTCTACCTTCAACGTTACATGATGTTACACTTGACTGAATGTCTATTGTTTCTCTTATCTTCGTAGTATGATTTCATGTATCATGCATGTTATTTAAGTTACTTTGATTTGTATCAATTTGTAATTAGCATATAAACTTTATTTGATACTTATGTTATGATTTTATTGATTTTGATGTTAATGGATTTTGTTCAGGGTTTTCCCCCAGGAATCATTGAGCCGCCCATAAGCCGATATGTATTTCTTGGCTAAAGAAATAAAACAAACAACCATGCCCAAGGCTCAACAACACATTGTGGGCTACTGGATAACCTTGAGCCTTTTCTTTTAGCAGGATAGAATTAACGTCAAATCTAATTATGTCTGAACAGATGGAGAGTTCTGAAGACCTGGGACATTGTACATGTACAGTAGCATCCTCTTCTAATGCCCGGCACAGCAACTTATTGCCTCTATGGCTGTTGGACCTTACTTTTTAAACAAGATTACATACATTGTAGTATTACATGTATGTTAGACTTGATGTCAACTCTCCTTTATTCTGGTCAGGCAGAGAGTTCAGAAGACCTAGGGATGTGGCAGATTGCCTCTATTTGGCTTGAAAAAAGTTATTAGGTTTTTACCTTGAGCTTATTTTTTCCAAGCATATACATGCATTGACTTGATACCAAATCTGATTATGTGTGAACAGGCGGAGAGTTCAGAAGACTTGGGGATGTGGCTGAGACTGCTGGTAGAGGAGACCGGCTCGTCCAACCCTGATGAGCTCAGCTCCCTCAGCTGTGTGTACGTGGACATAGAACCTGACTCCAAACCTGACAGACCTCCCATGATCAAGAAGTTCTCTCAGGTAGGGTTGCACAAGTTATTTCCTGTGTGTCAAAATGACCTGAGTGCATTATCCTGTATAGATAAATAATTAAAAGTGAAATAAAGTGAAATTTCTGGGTGGTAAAATGTAGGCAGGTAGGCAAAACAGGATATTCAGAGACAATTTTCTTGTGTCATTTTTTTAGTTTAATGAATCACCCCTATCCCATAGCATACTGAAAAGCAGAAGCAAAATCTGTGAAGCAAAAATGATATGTTGCTGACAGAAAATAGTTACTTGTTTCATAATTTGGAGGTACTTCAAACGCTTCAAATATGAAATGATGAAAATAAGCAGAAGATGTTAATATCAGACATTTCTTCTTCTTCATACTATTTATAATTTAAAAATGAACCATCAAAATTACAGATTTTCACTTAAATGCAAGTTAGTGTATGTACATCTACCATGTAAAAAGATGATTACAGAAACTAATGCTCCTGACTATATTTTGCTTTATTATAGGACAGCATCACAAGTTCAGGAGAAGCATACATGGACTTGTCATATCCAGACTCTAACGATCAACCTGCAAAATTTGTCGACAAATCTCCCAAACCATCTCCCAAACCATCGCCAAAGCAACCTAGGAAAAACGAGAAGGCTGCGACTCTTGAAAGAGAAAAAGCTGAAGATGGGAAGAAAGGAGACACTCTAGAATCCGAGGATGGAAAGCCTAAGAAAGAATGGAAACTCACTCTTGGCAAGCAAAAGAAGGAAAAAACTCCTGACAAAAATGAGAAGGAGGAGAAAGAAAAGAAAGGTGGTTTCATGGACAGGTTTAAAAGGAAGAAGAATAAGTCGAGTGAAGAAAAAGTAGAAGACAAAACAGAGGGAAAAGAGAGTGCCAAAACGGAAAAGGAAAATGTGGAGAAGAAGGAGGAAGTTAAGGCAACCGAAAAGGTTGCTGAGAAAAAGGTATCGACCACAGGAAAGTCAGCAGCAGAAAAGGAAGTGGAGAAAAAGCCACCTGCAACAACAACAGCTGGTATGTTTGTGCTCTTTACTTTTCTGAAACATTTTATTCAAGTCAGATTGTGCCAGTCCCATCAAGCATGGAAAAATCTCACCAGCCCTGGTACTTTCTCTGGTAAAGTGGTGTCTAACTTAATTGATAATGATAAATAATAAATTAAATCAAAAGGATCATTTTCAATGTTAACAAAGACAGGTAATTTTACAACTGTCAAATGATAGCGTTAAGTAAAACTGCGTTTTTGTTTACCACGATTTTTGGTTGATTCCACCAGCAGTGAAACTTGTAGTGGCTGTTACCAGACTGACAGTAAATCTTTCACTTAAAATACTTAACTACTTAATAATATATTACTTCTGTAATATATAAAATAAATAGATTGTATTTGAGGTGTGATTTAGAAGACATACGCAGTCATGCAGTATATAATTGTACATTTTTATTCACTGACAGTCTGATGTGTTTACAATGATGATGAAACAAAATACCCTCAGGTCCCAGGTACGGGAAGGAGAGAGCGCAGGCAGAAGTGACCAGACTGGAGAACAGGAAGGCAGAAATACAGGAGGAAAAGGAGAAACTGAGGAACAAACGGGTCGAGCTTCGAGCCAAAAAACAGGCTCTCAAAGAAAAGTTTATCACCGATCAGGTACTAAACATCACAATCATGATAGATTCACACTTTCCACAAGTCTGTATGAAGCAGTATGAAGTTGTATGATTTTTTACTTTCTAGATTTAATTGTTGTTTATTGCAAATTCATGCCCGAGGGCTAATTGCATACAGACATTGACAAGAAAAAATGTGGTGATATAAGACTATTTGCTAACATGAAGTTCTACGTGTACGATATACTTATCAAACCTACTATCTCTACTTAAATCTAATAACGTTGGTATACATACAGGATAAACAGTAGATATGCAATATATGAACAGGTAAGAGGAACAAGGTAACTGCTATTCAGATCTACTGTAAATTCATTTTTGTTCGCGGGGAATAAATTTCGCGTTAGGAAAGGAAAGGAGATTTTTGCGGTGTTTTACGTTCGCGGTTGAAACAATACTTAAACACGGTAGTACATTTTCAGTGCCTTTACTAAGGTTACAAGATTCCTCTTATAAGTCATTGCAAAGGTCATGGACAGGCTTAGCTGGTAGTACACAATATTGTGGCAGTATGCCGCTATTGATGCATATATTCCACTATTGTCTTATCTATTTTCACATACAGAGAAGCTCGGCGCGGTTCTTGTTGAGAATAGATAGAGAAGGAGGATCAAATAGCGCGGTTCATGTTGTGGAAACAGTAGAGAGAGAGAGAGAGAGAGAGCACAAAAATGTGTTCCTGGCTGGAAGTGCAGTCTTGAATCAGCACCATCGGTTTTGTGAACAGGTGTTAGTCGGTGA